GGTGGAGATAGACACATGAAGTGCAGTATATTCTAATGAGCCTGCATGTGACATGGGGAGGGGAGACAAATCCAAATGCCTTGTCGAATCAACGTTATTTGATATTTACATCCCAAAAGAAACAAAGATATTTCACAGTTTTGGGGGTGGTATGCACTGCACATACCAAAAGTATGTGGGTTTTTTCATGATTTGGATGTTAGTTCCCCTTGTAACTAACGCACCTAGAAAAATATTCAATACTTTGCATTATTGTCATAGCAATGAGGCTACATACGGCTGCATAATGTTTTCCATTTTTGAGGTAAACAACAAAATACACAGTTAATCTGCACCGCCCTGTGAAAATTGGACGTGAAAAGAATGAACTAGTACCTTGAGGTTGGATGCCAGGCTGATGATGGAGAGATGGCGCAGTTTATTTCTCTGAGCCGGGGTCAACTCTGGTAGAGAGGCTGCTCTCTCTTCAGCAAAAAGAACAGGAAATAGTCAGGCAGCATGTAAGTGTCACTTGATGAGGGTCAAACAGTCCCACATAATTGAAGCACTACTTTATTTCTTTGAAGTGTAGAATCGTACAGGGACACGCGGGGCTCTTTAAAGCCCCCTCAGAACATAGTCGGAAGGAAGTCGGTCCCCTGGGACTACGTCTCCTGCTGCCATGCTTCCCCGGTGACAGGACTGACACCCTCCGGGAAGGCAGCGCTCTGACACCTCCTCTGAGGGCTTCACTACGCAGCACTATGAGAGAAAATGTGCTTCCTGTCGGCGTGACTCCAAAGGGAAGGGAACAAAAAAAGTAGGCTAATTTTTTTTCCCAGGCTATTGGTTGATGTTCAGCATAAAATTAGACACAATTAACATTCCACTTCTTGTTGAAGCTTCACAACGCATCACACAGACGACAAATTAAGTCACAAAAGATTGGTTTACTGCCATTTTGTGGCAGTACTTCTGCAACACAGACAGTCATTAAAAAACACTTTGTGAATAGTTGCCCAAACAAATAAGCACACCAGTCATCTTGTCTGCAGTGTCTCAGGTGAGGGCGTTTAAAGTCTGTGTCAGGGTACCTGCCTTGAAACAAAGAACATACGGCTAATAATAAAAGAGATTCAGGGACGCCCCCATTATTTATTTACACCATGCTGCCACTGTAATACCTTTGTAGTCACAGTAGGTTCCATAGGCAAAGAGGTTGAGGAGCTGGTACATTGGTGCATGAGGGCCATTCTCCATCTGTGTAGTAGAAGGAAGATGAGGGAAAACATGAAATGAGACTTTACATAAAAAACTGCAACAGCAAATTGAGCCTTGCTGAGACTCCTTGAGTAAGGCTGTATTTAGGCGGGAATGTCACTGAAATGACCCATTTCGCCGCCATGCTGCTGGTTGGTTGTAGTCACTCGGTTTGTTCATCCGTGCTGCTCCTCTCCCGATGGGCGTCTTTTGGTCAGATCTGTCTCCAGTGAACACTGTAATCTTTCCTACAGTTTCCTCGTGGCTGTCTGGAAGCTTTCAGCTGAGGCCTGTTCCGTCTTTCGCGAGACTCTCGACTATAATTTATTTGTTCTATGCTATTTATTATTGAGATAGGAACCTGATATTGAAATGAAAAGGACGACACTTTTGGAAATGCACAAAAACATGCAGGGAAATTGAGTGTTCAAGCGCATTCTACAGCAAAGTGGCTTTTTCATCCCTTTTAAGAAATGCAAAAACGCAATTCTGACGTAAATATGACCGCTTATACAAGCCGTCATTGGCGGACTATGAGGACGCGCGGATGGCCTCTGATTTATGGAGGGAGATCTCCGCAAACGTCGGTTTGCTGGTCGAGGGAAACAAAGTTGTGGAGGAAAATACGGGACAAATGTGTCCGTGATGAAAAGCAACAGTGGTGATGCACAGGGCAATAAAGTCTATGATAAATAAATAAACAAACCAATGACTTCCACACACAAAGACGTCACTCTCTGGGTCGTCTTTGACAAAAAACGTTACTCCACCTATTTTTCCGGCGGTGAATTGCTTTGCAACACGCGCAAGTCTTTTAGAACCATGAATTGAAACGAGTGCGTCGACACGACTATGCGTAAAGACGCAGAAGCATGCGCCAGCCTTAACAGCATCACGCTCAGGAACTCTATCTATAGATGTGTTAATTGGGAGAGGAGTCACGACATTGATTACATCATTGATGCACAGGTGTCCACAGGCATAAACGTGATCAGATATGGGGAGGAAACACCCGTTGTGTTGATGAGGCATTAACATTACAGTCACAGGCATCGCTGACCCTTCTGAAATTGGTTTGATTGATCAGATTCCTAATGTGTCCTGGATAAATGAACACATGCGAGAGAAACTGTCAAACTGTGATCAAGACGGCTTGTTTTCATGCCAGGTCTGAAAAGGTCACCAAAAGACACAAGGGGTGAGGAAGATGAAGTGCAAGAGTGTGTTTACCTCTCTGACATTAGGCAGCTCCAGGATGTCGGAGAAGACGTAGAGGCCTGGGGTCTCCAGCAGAGAGCTGACAGCCTGGGCCAGTGCTGGGCCCGACAGGGACAGGAGCTGCTCCACCTCCATCTGACGCCACGGGAGACAGGAGACCAAAAGCTGAGCAGGTTAGACAAAAGTAATAAAGAGAGACACATGAGAATGAGAATGTCCCGATAAAAATCAAGGAAATGACATTGCTGTTAACGCCTTGGCTCTGCCATTTAAACGACGGCACCTAGGGACACCGTATCACAACCTGCCTTAAACACTATTGTTAGGTCGTTTAAATGAACAGAAGGACTCCACGGGATGTAGGTCTCTTTGTCATGCACAGCAGCCAAGTACTCTTGACCAAAGAACACTTAAGCGCTCAAATTACCCGAGGAGCACAGACAGCAGGGGAGTAGCGGCACTCGGTAGCACCAATACAGTCACCAAGGGTAATGAATGCAAAGAACAGCCCATGTTTATTTATTGAAACCAATTCCCTGCATACACAATGCAAATGCACTTTGGACAACGCCTGAATAATTACCAGTTACCATCATCCTGTGTCTTCAGCAGATATTCGGGCCACATCCACACGGATGCATTTTTGTCTACGGGGTTTTGAAACGTCCACACCGGCGGGTCTGAAGGCGAATGTCACATGACTATTTACGTACACTGGCTGCAAAACGGGATTGGTTGGCACAAAACGCGACGTCCGCGCCATCAGGCCAATTACATCGTTAGACACAACGCCCACAAATCACTCCAACAGCTGGTTTTCTCAGCATATATTGGCAAAAGTGGTATTCAAGTTTGCAACAAATGTACAACTGTAAATGTTCCCAGTGTGCGTGAATAGTCCGCAACAGTTGTTTTCAGGGGTTATAATTTGGACGGAAATCGTTTTGAAAACTCAATGGCAAAAGATCTTTGTGGATGCAAATTGTTCTTGTTTTGAAACCTGTATTTGACAAATATGTCAATCTGAGGAGCTGTGTTGAGTTTGATGTGATATTTTAAGATATTCTAATCCCAGCAGGGACACAGAAGAAGTTTAGTTTTTCATGTGCATGGTAAAGTTATTGCAATTGCAGACTGTTTATGACCTGAGGCCATTCCCTGAAATTAATGAGAGTCTGGATACCAAACTGCTTAGCTAAGACTAGTCTGGTTCTTATTCAACATAGTCAGTGCAGAGGGTGTAGATATATTGTATCATCCTAAATCTGATGCATTTAGATGCACATCTAAATGTGGAGTTTAAAGCGCATCTTCTCAAGCAAGCTGAAACAATGAGCACTAAATGAATGGAAGCCAAAGACTGACGTTCGCGAGTTTCTGGTGCTCGCGGGGGAAAAGATTCAAACGTATTTTCACTGAACAGTGACCTCGACTGCAAATGTGGTGAAATAAATGCAATCGTTACGTAAATATAGCAATTTAAATGTAGACAAAAACAATAAATACACTTGTCTCCAAAAGCAAACGTGCACACGTGTTTACAAATGCTAACGTCACCTTAAATTATATGGGATTGGGACTGTGATTAAGTTACTAATTTGGACAGACAGCCGTTGAATGTTGCATGAAATCATGTCAAATTTCAACCAAAAGGTAAAGTGGGTTATGAGGAGATTCTACTTACGTTAACTAAATTACCCATCTTTTAACGCTAGCTTAACACCGCTCAGTCACACGGCTATCGTTAAAGCTAGCAAGTAAATTACCCTGTCAACAGACATAAGTGCACACGACAGAAGTTCTCAATGTGAAAAAATCGGTGTATCGGTAGTTTAATTACATTTTATAATATTTCATCCAAATGTGTTTGTTCGGTCTCAGTGTGTCACGCTAGCTAAGTTGCTAACCGAAGGCTTCACGTCGACGTTAGGCCGCCAACCACTTTAAGCCTTTCCAATAATCTAAATCATACCAATATGATGCACAACTAACAGGGAAGTAAAAAAAAAGGCAAAAAGATACTTCCGCAAAAGTGTTAGTTGAGAGTCGGTGTGTGCAAATGTACCTTATTGTGTTGTTTTTTAGCAGATAGCCTCCGTCTTGACTGTTTAGTTCCGCAGTTAGCACACGTACGACAACAAAGCAACGTAAGCTTTGATTGGACAGTAAGAATGAAGTAGGCGGGACATGTGCTGCTGTCACTCAGAAACTATATAAGCGAATCTGAGAGAACAGCGCTTCCTAGCGGTGGGTTAATAGACACTGAGAAGACAAGGGGTATGTGCATGTATTTATGTATTTATTCATTTATTTAATTTTGACTAAAACGGCATTCCATAGACATAGACTTCATTTTAAATCATCTCATCTGTAATTTGTTGTCGGCATAGAGTATATGGTTGTAGAGTCTGTGGTTGTGAGCCTTAACTTTGTATACTGTCGGAGGATGCAGTTATATCGATGCCTGAGACTTCAGCTGATAGTTTGTGAGATAAGTGGAAAATGTGGATGTCCTGGATGGAAAACAAGATCAACCCAAAGAAAACTGTTCAGCAATAGATTTTATTGACCTGTATTTATTTTTGCTAGAAATGCATATCAATCAATTCTGTTTCAGTGAGAAATTCACATTTTGTAAAACTTAACTTCATGTCAATGTTAATATTTTGCTATATACATATGCAATGTTACACTACTGCATTGAGCTACTACTTTGAGTGTGTGCTGGTCAGCCAACAACCCGAGACGAGCAGACATTTTGATTACTTACAGACTACATTCTGTGAGAGAAGCTCCCTTTCACTCAGGATTAACAAGAAACAAAACTAGGCTAGATAAGACAGTAATGTGTTTTGAAAAAAAAAAATCCCAATATGGTTAAAGGGAAAGGTCTATTGATAGACGGATTTATGGAAGTGACTCACACAGCCCCCACACTCCTGTTCCCCCATACAGCTGTGGCTCCAGGGGCATGTTGGATGTAGATTATACTGTTAGTGCTATTAGCACTGTTAACTACAATCCACCAGCTTAATGACTCACCAAGGTTTAGAGCTGTCAAAAGGCTCCCACTCTCTTATGTACCTTTAATGGGTAAACAACCGTACAACTAAATATACAATGTTTCTGAAATATTTTGCAGCTCACTTTTCTCACATTTTTTTCGAAATGTCTTCTAAAGATTAACAACAGTGACTCAAATTTGTAGAACACAATGATAGTGTTGTGCCATTCAACTTTGCAACATGAAGACCTGATTTGAATATATTTATAGGCTCATTATTTTTAAATTGGCACAAAAGAGGACAAATTACAGTATATCTTCTAAAAACAAATAATTACATCCAACTCTATCTAAAATGTGTGCAACACTAAAATACATAATCTCTTTACATTTTTTTTCACTCAAGAGTTATACAATTTTCTCCAATATATTGTATCTCAATTTATTGAGATTTTCAAAAACCAACCATTTCAGAAACCATTCCACCAGTAAAAAATACAAATATATGTCACAAGAACAACCTTTTGGTCTGAGATTTGTTTTCTGTTATTCTGAAACCATTCATTTTCTTTCTCTTTCACAACCTTGTGTTTTGCAATGTTTTGAGTAGTATTGGGATTCAGTCGAGCTGAATGACATCCATCTGGCAGATCCGTTTATAAATGTGCTCACAGGGAACATCAAACCATGTCTTTGCATGGCTGTCTAAGGTGGCACAATCCTCTCCATGTTCCCCTCCTGACTGATGGTTATTTGGCTCGGAGCTCAACTGATCCCAGTATCTGTGACAGACCGAGAGAGGAGGAAACATGGATTGATAGGGTGGTCTATAAATAACAACTGTGAACACTTCTGACAAATGTGAAAAACAAGCTCACCCCACCCGAGTCTGTGATTCATTCACAGCATTTTTAAACTCTTTTATCTGAGCTTTTGAAACAAAAATGAACATGTTGCATGCATGTTTTTCTATCTTTTGATGTTATGCTATTTCATCTTTCTCTCTCATATATAATATATATATTCTTTAACATAAAACATGAACAAATCAATTATTTACTGCATTAAATATTAAAGCAGATATTACTTGTGTTGCAATGTTGTGTTGTCCACCCATCTCCAGTCTCCCTCGCTGTCTAGGTCAGACAGACCGATCCAGAAGTGGTAATCAAATCCGTCACTTTTCTTGACTTCTTCTACCAGAGCGTCCTGAAAAACACAGTGGATTCATTAGTGCTGAATCCATAAGAAATTCCTATTTTTTTTTAATCTCAATGAATGTAATAACGATAATAATGTCATGTAATAACACTTCGAAGTTCCTATATTTAGAAGGGATGACAAAATGTCCTAATTTCCCAATAGTGCGCTAAAACATGGTACCAGTGAGCCACCCGGACCATGAAACTGTAGCAGCTAACAGTTATTCAGCCATCATTGATTAGGGAATGTTCTTTTTCTACAAGGAAAGGTCAACATGTTCGCTGTGAAACAGGCCTGTTGCATTGGGTCACTGAACTCTATGTACACAAGGCCTGATAAATGTGTACTTTGTCTACCTCCTAAAAAATGTGTTACGCAACGAAAAGGGGAACCTGTCTGGTGTGTGTGGACACACCGCGCAGTCCTGAGCGTATAATATACTCCTTTTATAAAGTCTATGTTTTAATCAGACAAAAAATGTGTTGAGATGGGAATACAGAGACTTCTGTGGCTTTATGTTTCCTGTCTGTACACACACACACACACACACACACACACACACACACACACACACACACACACACACACACACACACACACACACACACACACACACACACACACACACACACACACAGTGAAGATCACAGTAAGTGACCCAATTAAGGGGAAGGAGAAACACCTGTGCCGGTCAGCAGGTGTTCGTTTCTGTCCATTAAGTTGTGTTCAGCCCAACCCCATACACACACACGCGCGCACACACACACACACACTCACTCACATGCTGTTCCATGGTGTGCAGTATTGTAAGATGGCCGCCCATATCGGCACAGCTATCTCTGCTCTTCAGCCAGTCCAGCTTGTCGTTGCTGAAGTAGTAACACTGGTCCCCGGCATGGAGCCATCCTTCAGGGCAATCCCTGCACCGCTTAACTATTGATGAGATGAAGAGGGCAAGAACTAAAAAAAAAAAAAAAAGCCTGAGGGCTAACAGTAAAACAAGGCCGGCAGGAAATGAAGATTGGGTGCAAGTTTGATTTACGTTCCGCCACCTGTCTTTGAACAGCTCTGTCCCAGAGCGCTGTAGTCCTCGCACAGCCGGGCGTAACGCGTCCGTGCCGAGTTCAGCTTGAAACCGAGAGATGGGGAGTCCAGGGGAGCACCAGGCACCGGCCTGCCAACCACTGACAAGGAAGGAAGAATGGAATGACGACGGACCGACAGATAGAAGGATAGAGAGAGGCAGAAGGATAGAGAGAGGCAGATGGAGAGAACGAATGCGCAGCAGACGCCATTGGGAATGACACTCAGTGCTTTTGGTTACAGTATCTGAGAGATGATGATCATAACGCTTGATCATTAAAGTTTCTAAAAATTCATCTTCTGAGGAATATGAACATCTGTACCAAATTTAATGTAAAATCACCCTGTAAATGTGGAGCTATTTCAGCGTGGAACAATATTGCCACCAATAAAAGCCTGACTATAAACGCATGCAATTGCATACTGTCAGGTTTTCACCCACAGCTCCCTCTACTCTTGTGAATCTCCTCCGTACCGTCTGTAAATCTCATTTTACTGCTGCTGTTGCTCGAAATAATTGAGTTTACATGAGCTCCCTCACGGCTGTAAAAAAAAGAAGCATAATTTAAACCTTTCTGTGGTTTCATTGCCAGATATTTTTCCACATTTGTGTTTCCTCAGTTTACGTTACATCCCATTTGCCTATTAAAAACACATTTTTCTTATCTTTGCTAAGAAGAGTAATTGATATAATATATGCAATTAATGAAGCTGATTGTTGACAGTTTTTAATTGTTGGATGTGAAAATGTGCTGCATTATCTATTATGGCAGATATTGTTTACTGTGCAACTAACACAGCAAATCTGCAACATGAAGTCTACAATAACAACATTTAACTGCTAGGAATATTGGCAGATTTGTCATGATGCTTTTATGCCATAGTTATATGGTGGAATTAAATAATCTTCATCTTCTTAAAATATGTAAAGTATTAAATCTAGCTCTTATTCTTCTCTTGCTGCAGGTCATCATTTTCAGATTCTGAAATAGTACTCAATAGCTTGTGTGTGCGTTTCTGTGAATGCGTGTGTGTGTGTGTGTGTGTGTGTGTGTGTTGGTAATAGATCAAGCACCTGCATCCCCAGTGGTGTTTGTTTTTAAACGAGGGGGCCCTCACAAGCACATTATCATGCTGGGCGTCCACAGCCTGTTGACCCGGCAGAAGAAATATTTCACAATCGTGGACTTTTGTGCTTTTTCTATTACTTCCCCCTCACCGGACTGAGGAGCGCTTTATCTTTGCTATTGCCAATTATAGGTGTCTAAAAGCGCAGCGAGCCGACGCGAAGAGAGAATAATCAGCGAGAGAGAGAGAGAGAGAGAGAGAGAGAGAGAGAGAGAGAGAGAGAGAGAGGGAGGCAGGGAGACACGCAGGCTCAGACCGCAGGGCAGGTCGTTCATACTTACGGAGCACAGTGAGGATGATGTTGGCACAGACGGAGGCCAAAAAGCATAAAGCCATCAGGAGAGCAGCCCGACTCCTCAAACACTCGACGCCCCGCTTCAGTCCCCGGGAGCCTGGGACACAAGAAGAGGAAGCTGTCCACTCACCACTGTCAATCATCTCGTGAAGCCCAGAGAAGCCGCTCAGTGAAAAGAGATCGCGCAGCAGATTATTATCCCCAATGGATGAGAATTCAATAGTTTAATATATAATACATGTAACAAGGATAAGTTGCTTGCTTCAAACCCGTTTTTTAAGTAAACGTTGAATGCGGGACTTTAAATGTGGAATTTGCAGAGCTGTTGCGACTTTAACTCAGGTAAACAATGTGAATACTTTTTTCACCACTGTTATTGCGTATGTTAAGTAAAGCATTTCCCTCTGCAATATAGTGTGAAGTAGACTTTACATTAAGAAAATAAATGAAGTAAAAGTACTTCGTATTGTCACAGTACCTGAGTAATTGCACATATGTGTACATGATATTTCCCCACTGGCTCTTAAGCACGTGAAATCTCCCAATATCTTCAGTGACATGAACACACTGTACCGTCGCTGTGCTCCAGAATGAGCCGGTTCGCTCCGGGGGTCGGCTCCTCCTCGTGGAGGCTGCTGTAGTTCTCCTCATGCTCCATGGCTTTGATGCCCTTGTTAACGCTCTGTCTCACTCGGTCTCTTTTAGTACGGTGCCTCCTACGCTCCCGATAGGCTTTTGCGGATTCTCTCCCAAGCAGCAATATTTCTCCTTGAAATTAAATTTGTCCCTGCGAGTTGATTTATTGAGGCCGGTTCACCTGCTCTGCTGCGGCGCTGCAAACGAATGTGCTCAGTTAAACTGTCCTCTACCTAGTGACTAAACAACCACAGCTCTTTCTGGAAAAGTTAAGGGTGTGTTGGTCCAAAGTGGGAGTCTTTCCTCACTTTGTTGGCTCTCTGCAGTGTGTGTCGGCCCGTTGCCGTAGTGATTCATTGTCAACTCGCCCCCCCAGTTGCACAATCTCAGAAGTTTCCTCACACTCGAGCTCGAGAAAGTTTCTGAACGACAACACGCCCACATTCTGCTGAGTCAGAACACGAGTCTGTATTTTAACAACACCGGAAAAAAACATTGTGTGCCTTAAACTTCCCGACATTAGTTGATATAAAAACAAGGTTGTGACGGTGAAGCAGCTGCGTGCGCAGTGACACGAGGCAATCAGTGGTGATGCCGCAGCTGCGCAGTTTGAGCTCACGTGATCACAACACGTGATCCTTCTTTGCTCTCATTAGTCTGTATTGAAGGAAAGAACTCATGAAGAAGAATAGCTGACAATGATGACAGGAATTAGGTGCCAAAAATATAATGAACGGGACATATATTCCAAAATAAACATAAATATGTTGACAGTCTGTTAAGGCGACAGAACGGGCATCTGGTGTGTGTGTGTGTGTGGGTGTGTGTGATGTAGAGGTGATATTGTGGCAGCTGTTCTTCTAATGAAGAGAATACAAATATCTCGCAACACACAAACACATGGAAACACACCGTGCTGATTAATGCTGAGTCGTACTTTTTTACTTCTCCATCTTTGCCAATTTGTTAAGAACGTATTTGTCTTTGCTCACCCGCATGCCAGAGCTCCACCATCAAATGTTTGTTTATCTAATCCTATACAGCAGTTCATCGATGGGGTTTGGCCACATGTTGTTGCATCATGTGAGTTCCGTTAATCATAAACTCTCCAGTCTGTCGGGTAGATTTGGTCAATCTGTTCTTTCTGTCCCTCTGCTCGATAAAACACCCAGAGACCACAGAGAGGAAGCCAAATGTTGCTATTATTTTATGAGCTGGCAGACATGAGAAAAAACAACAAGGTCAGAGCAGCCTTAAACAATGTGAACCAGTGGCGTAAAGTAGTTACGAGTGAAAGTATGAAAACAATCAGGTTTAGGGAGCTTTGTATCCTCATTTTCTCTTTTGAACATGTCTGAGGTAACAATCTGAATCATTCGCAAGGCCCCGTTGCTCCCTAGTGCCTGCTCTAAGGGCCCCTCCACACCACCGTCTTCAGTCATTATATTAAAATATAAAAGTTGCCGTGCAGAAGTAAATTGCAGAAATGTGGGGAAAGTTTTGCTTAATCCCCTTTTGGGTTCCCAGAACTAACCTCTGACAGAATGTCTTTTTAATTCCCAGAACTAAAGGCTGTTAACTGTTTACTGGACTGTTTTTTAAGTTACCGGAACCAACGCCCTTCCCAAACCTTTCTTTAGTTCGCTGAACTAAAAGTTCTAAAAAGTTTTGCATCTGGTTCAAAAAGTCTTTAATCTTGATTTGAAGCGGCTGACTTGCAGCTTCCTGGGATTTTGTTCCAGATATGTGGAACAGAAAGACGACCCGTCCCAGACGACCTGAGGGGTCATGATGCTTTGTAAGGTATCATCAGGTCACGTGTATTTTGGACCAAAACCATTCAGGGCTTTACAAACCAACAGCAGGATTTTAAAGTAAATTCTTTGTTTAAAAATTCACAACTGAAGTTTTGTCTGATTTTTAGCTTTGTACAGAAACTCAACAAGATTTGGAAATACTTTCCATGCATTCATCTTCAGTTGACTGAACTATTGTACCAAATACCTGAAAAATGCTTGTTTAGTTTATAAACACAATATGTACAAGTTAACTGAGAAAAGTTCAGATGGATATTTGTTTGAGAGTTAATAAAGGTGATTACATTTTATTGAAGGATCATCATTATCCGAGTCAGGATATCCAGAAATAGCAAAGATTCTCTCTCATGAACAAACATCAGTCACACAGACACATCTCATCCTTTACCCGAGTCGCTATAATGAGTGAACACACCGCCTAAAGAGCCTAAAACCAATCCAATTTACATCTTATTTTACACAAAAAAACTCATCTCACTTTGGCACAAACAAATTCTTGCTCTTTCCGTGTAGATTTTGTGACGTGCTGAAATCAGAGGCAACAACGTGACCACGTGTCCGGTGGTCTGGATGGAGAGGACTCAGACCAGGTCTAAAATGTTCCCTGTTCCTTCTTGTATCCGTGAGACGGACCCATCCCGCTGCAGGACCACCAAAAAATGCACTAAGAGTGCTCAGCTGGGTATCTAGTACCAACAAATGCTCATTTTTATATATTTGCTTATAGGGAAAAAGTTGAAAAAGTAACAAGTGTTATCAGTCATAAAAAAAGACTATAGATGGCAACAATGTGGATAAAATAAAAGCATAATATAAACGGTTCAACAGTAATATCACAAACAATAATGTTAAAATTCTGATTAAATGAAGCATAGAGCAATCCTCTGGAATATAAATCACATGTGACATTAGAAATATAAAAACAATCCAAAAATGGCAGACATGGACTACTGAATTACACCTCAGTGATAAACCAATCTCTGACATGAACTTTGTCTTATTAACACAGCCGACAGAGTTTCATGGTTCAGTGGATAGGTCAAAGAAATCCATCTCTTCTAAACAGAAACTCAATTCGTTCCGGTGTCCTCATGAAAATGTCACTCTTGGAGATATCATGTTCTGTAGAATCCTCTGGGTTTGGGGCTGTAACATAACAAATAAAAGGTTTCTTGTTACATTATAGAAAGGGACACAGAGCTCCCAAAAAGCAAAGTGCAGATGGTGATTTTGCTAATTGTTTATTTCTTTATGAAACACCTATTGGCTATAAGATTGTCTTGAGTCATTTCAGGAGACCAGGAAATAATTGTTACGTACGTTTTGCACTTGCAGAGTCGACGGCTGAGGTGCGTCATCCTCTGCTAATGTAATCAGCACACAGAGAGACACACAACTCTTAATGCCACATTAACAGACCAGTGCGATCCAACAGAAAGGAATAGGAATGGTTTAACTGTACTTGTCTGCGTCTGTAGAGGATGAATGCCAGGATGAGTAGGAGGATTACGATGACTGCGGCACCACAAATGACCACCAGCATCCACAAACTCAATTTGGGTTCTGCGTTCAACAGAAACAGAGCGGCGTCAAGCAGCATGTAGAACAAACAGCACATCATGTGACGCTTTGTGTTGCAAAAGCGATCGTGGCCACAAGGCCACGCCAGTGTCATATTTCCTGCTCCCCTCTCACTTCCTGCACTCACCGATTTTCAGCGTGATCTCGGCCGACGTCAGCAGCGCGCCGCTTTGCCACAGCTCACATCTCCACTTTCCGCCGTCTGCCGTCCCCACTTCTGGGACGGTGAAGTGGGCGAGGTGCCGGTCAGGCGTCAGGGACGACTGTTCGGGCGGAACCCACTTCAGTTGCAGGTCAGAGGGCGTCGGATGGCCAACGCTGCAGGTCAAGTTGAGCTGCTGGCCAGAAATTAAGTCTGTTCCTGGAGAGGAGGTGACTGAAGAGACGGAGAGGAAGAAGTGCAAACAGAATAAAAATACGATGAGCACGGGAAGATTTGGCAGGCTGGAAAAGTCCTTTGGTCTCTTTTCCTCTACATGTGAATCTGACTGAGCAGCTGTTGCTGCAGTGCGCCAGCCGAACCTGCCAAGCTTCAGGGGGAGAAACTTTTTTGTCAAAAGACAGACGAGAAACCGAAGAACATGACGGCATCGATGTGAAAAGCGCACAACCGCTCAGTCGTAAAACCACAAAGACGAGTTCAATGTGGCTTGGTTGAGGATTGAACCGGTTCCAGGGGGGAGCAGGTCGCAGCAGGACCCCAGAGAGAAGCTCTGGGGACCCATTTTCACCAGATTGCCCCTTTTCTTGGACTAGTTTTGGTGTTTCTGGTAAAATGATAACTAAAATAAAAAATGAAATGCTCTTATTTTAGAGCATAAATCCTCAGAATACACAGTCCAATTTAAATGAATTGTGTTATCAGCCTCTAACGGCGGTGGGAAAGCTTGTTATTCCCCATAAAAACAATGGAGCTAGACAAGTGTATTAGCCACTGAATTAAAAATGTCACACCAGGGACGTTTCCAAATAAACTCTGCAGCAGAGAAATGAAAACCGAGCAGAAGCAGCGAGTAGACAAATCAACGGCTACCTCTTACTTCTGAATGACAATTAAAAAGGAAAAAATAAACCAGATAAATTAGGACAGTGCGATAACAACAAGGAATGAATGTCATGTTGGGAGTGAGTGCATCACTGAGCTGGCCGGTGTACAAAGCAATGCACTTTGACTTACTTTGCAGCACCTTCACGTGCACCGTCCTGTTCAGCAACACGCCGTTTTTAAATTTCATGGTGCACACATAATCTCCTTGGTCTTCTTCATTCCCTCGGCTTCTGGTCAAAGACAGATTTCCTTTTTGAAGGTCTGCTGCAGAGCGTAGTTCTCTGTTTTGGTCTTTCTCCCAGGTGAGTGGATCCTTCAGAGAGAGGGAGAAGAGCCTCTGTGGAGTCCGGCCTGATTCGGGGACAAAGTGCCAGTGAACTTCTTGGAGGTCCTTCGCTTTGATTTGTTGCCACGAGATGTGAGCGGGGAGGGAACAGGGCACGGTGAGAGGCCAGGATTTCGACGTGTATTGAGGACGTAAAAGAGCGGGGGAGAGGTCTAAACAGGGAGGAAAAGAGAGATATAATGACAAAGTTATCTTACTACTGTAAAACAAGTGCATGCACACATGCACACATACGCAGTCACTCACCTAAAACCGTAACAGAAACTTTGGCCTTGTTCTCTTTTTTATCATTTGTCACAACACAAATCCACTGGCCACTGTCTCGACTCGTTACTTTCAGAGTCAGTGGTGCTGGACCTTTTTTCATTTTCTCTCCCGAGGGATTCAGCCACTGTATCTGTGGGTCCTTGTGACCTTGGAGAGTCTGTGCGGAGCAGGACAAAGTCAGCGAGTCCCCCGGCAGCAGAGGAGAGGATGGGGTCACACTCACTAGGAAACAGATTGGAAATTATTAAAATTATTGAGGGTAAGACCTTTTCTGAATGTGGTAGGTAATTTAATATTTTTTCTTCTATGTTATACATAACAAATCAAGTTTGATGAAGAAAAAAAAGGTTATTGAGTAACAAAACGGCCTTGTAGTTTAGCTGAATCACCTTCAAAAGCATAATGTTATGTCTGAAATAAAAATTGAGCATGAAAACAGAATAAAGATTCCACGTATTGCGAACAACAGATTTTATAAAGATACTAGATTTTATCAAAATACATCCTCCTATGGATTATGTTCCTACATAGATTACAAATGTAAAGAAAGTACAAGAGTCAACTGTCCTTTCATATGTAAATATTGCAAGGTGACTAAACTGGGCTGGTCACAATATTCTAACTTTTACCTGTGAGTTTGAGAAGTTTATATTTGGTTGGTGTACCACTAGGATCGCGTTTAAAGACAAAAGTCTCAAAGTCTGTTTCTTGTACGTCTTTGATGATCAGCGAGTCACGGGACAAGGACAATCTGCCTTTCCATCGGTCATCTGCATGGGAAGAATTAAATGGCGGTTCCTGTCAAAAATACCTTAATGAGTTTTATTATATCCGTCAATAGCTCAATGCATTGTTCACCTGATAATGTCCCCCATCTGCCCCAAGGATTGCGCCAGACAAGAGCGTCGACATCAGACGGCCTGTCTTCAAGCTGCCAGTACACATAATGCTTTTTGTAATCATCAATCTCTGGAGGCTTAATGGTAGCCGTCTCTCCCAGTTGAGCATATATCACCTCCAGTGCGCCTAAGAGAGGGAGAAGGATGTTATTCGTTACTGCACAAAGCCAAACTGTCCTAAAGTCAAAATAAAGGAATCATTTGCAATCAGTGTGTCTCACCCGTGAAGGACGTGAGCGCAGCCAGGAGGAGGAAGACGGGGTGAAAAACATTCCTCATTTCCGTCACGTCTGAAAAGTATTTTTTTGAAGAATACAGAAAACATATTGAAATAGATTAAGTACAATGATAATAATAATAATATTAATAAACCTTATTCATATTGTGTCTTCCACCCATACAATGTAGCTCAGAGCTCAAATTAATTTGTAAGAGTGCTGTTGTATTGACATTGAAATCGATGCGATGTTCTCTCTTTTTCTTGTTTTATAGTTATAGTAAGACCAGAGAAGAGATGAACCAAGGTGACGGCTGACTTTTAATTTCTGCGTTGGAAAGTTTCAGAGAGATTTCTTAAGTTTAAAGCTAATTTTCTCTCAGTGAAACATTTTTTGCAACAATGTTTAGATCTCATTTCACTCAAATAATGTTGTTTTTTTGCCATCCAAGGCGTTATCCATCTTTAAGAGATCCACTGGTTTAGGCTGTTCGGGTCTGGAGATAAAATCACAACTGTGTTAGTCCACAAAGCTGTGAAATGTCACGCATGTTGTTAAATCATTTGGAGAGTAGGAGCGTGTACAGTTTAGCGCCTGCAAACTGCTGCGACTGAGTTTAACTAACACCTCTCTGACAATTAAACTTTCCATTTTACAAACAGATAACTTGTTCTGGTTCAATTTGCAGACAGAAAAAAAGTGTCAATAACAATACTAATACTAGTAATAACAACGATAATATTAAATTCTGAATAAAAAAACAGTGTTACTATTTATGTGTATCTACTCTTGCTGCACAGAGAATTCATTCAGCAGGAAGTAAAGTTTGGTCTGTGGTGGTCTCAGATTCAGAGAGATTCGAGGGGATGAAAGCAAGAGAGCTGAGAGAGTTGAGAGTAGGCGGCCTGCGGTGGGTTTTTGAACGAGGGAAGAGAGACGGAGCGCACGCCACGTTGTGGTGGGCCTTGATTTAGTTAAGCTGCAGATTCTTATCCCGATCCTCCCTCTCTGCCTGTCACACCCCCTCTCTTCCTCCCTCGTTCCACGAAAGGCGGATCTCTTCGCGCTTAAAGAGAGAAAAGGAAGGAGACCACAGCCCCGGCAGCAGCCTTAGACTGTGGTTCAAAGGTAGAAGTTTCTCCCTTATCTCTCTTTCACTCTCCCCCTACACCTATTTAATCTTGATGGTTTGTACAGTATATGATTGTGCAAAAAAAACGTTGTTGTTGTTTTTATATTGATTTGACCACACAAATTAAGACCCCAAAGACCCCAAAATCAATCCATAGATAAATTACAGATTTTTGACCGTAGATGTAACATCGAATATGCATAACATGCCTCAAGAATAAATCAATTATATTGAATAAATAGAGTAGATACAATGGGCTCTTATGATTTGTACTTGCCTAAAATTTCCAAAACTTAATTCATAAAGATTCATAAAGAGGAGAAAAGGCTTAAGTGATGGATGAGTAACTTTTGATTGTTTGCACATTTGGTGTATTTCTATCTCGCATGATGTATTACAAAACACTTTTCAACATCGCATTTTCTCAATGATTTGTATTTAGGGTTAACAAATATTTTTGTGGTACGATTACCAACATTTTAAAGCGCCGGTGGTTTAGTGCTATGACCCAAGCCATGAAACCTCTGTCCGACCAAAGGCCGTTGCTGCGTGCCATCCCTCCTCCTGCCCCCATTGTTTCCTGTCAGATAAATAATGTTCCCAAAAAGACTCCTCAAAAAGTTCTTTATCTCACCTTGAGAGGCAAAACGACACAAACGACCCACAATGTCCCGTAAAAAAAGAATTATAGCCTTCATCATAAAAGTATCAGGACTAATATTTAAAACGTATGAAGGTCACAAGGTATATTTTACTTCACTCGTGCCAACACAGACATCGAGAAAAGTATTTCATGGTGATAAAATTGTACGATCATCCGTCTCGTTCCTGCCTCAAGGAAAGTAACAATGAACATTCAACTCTGAGGTGAAGTGTGTCAAGGAGGAAACGACTCAAAGCAAATAGATTAAGTATCTTTACAAACTATCTGTAAAAGATCAAAGATTGTAAAGATGTGAATATAGAAATGCATGAGATATTTATTAGAACGACGATTAATAATATTGCATTATTATCTCACTGAGATCAGCGTTAATAAGACGGTGGTGGAAGTGGAGACTGGAGACAGATGATAACTGAAGATATTAGACGTTGAAAGTTCACCTGGGGAGCTGAAACCCAGAAACCGAGAGGGTCACAGGTGCAGTCGGGATGGAGCTTCAACATCAAGCGGGGATGGAGGAGAGAGACAGAAAAAAGGAGTAGTATGACGGCATAATTCATTGATGAAACGGCCTCTGCTTTTCACATAACTGAATTTAACATATTTTGTCTTTACATCTCAAGGGATTACACAGAGATATAGTTTACAGGTCTGATACGGAAAACAATGGATGCGCCAACCGCCGTTGATCTAAACATATTTAGTTCAGATTGCTATATTTGAACGTCTTTTACAATTATTCTTTAAAGGTCTATACAAAATAAATGCAATGATACTTCGTGTTTCTAATATGTAAATTGTGTGTACAGCGAGTTTGTCATTTTGTGTTGTCCAGAAGGAATACAACAATTACAACAAAAGTGTTATTATATTTGAGCAATTTTATTTAAAAAAAATATTTTTGTTTTTTTGCCACTGTAATTAGATGAATGTATAAAACTAAGTTCTTTCAGCCTCCGCTGGACATACAGATATAATAATAAATAAATATTATCATTCGACAGAAAAATGATTATATTTATATAAATGTAAATGTATAAATGCTTTGACATTTGGAAACAAATATATACTTAGCAAAACATTTTTTTAAATTACATTATACTCACATCTGTTGTTGAGCGCTGTGTCCCTTTGTGCTCTGTGACCCCGAGTTGGTTGGAAATGTTGAATATCTATCAAACGAACTTGCTTTTTTAGTGGCGTCGCACCTCCCTCCTCTCCGATTGGTCTGGAAACCAAACGCACAGTCATCAACAAAAGCCGAAAGGAGAATAATGATCTTTGATTGGTTGTTGCAAAGGACGAGGACAAGAGCTCTTAAGATATTAAACAGCAAAACACTTAATCTTTTAAAAATCCATGCTTCATATTATATCATATCATACATTGTATCATTTGGGCAGTGTAATGGTGAAATATATCAATTAGTAAGTTAATTAGTGTATTTATTATATAGTTTGTTCGTTTTTACCTCTGAATCTGTCCGACAAATAATCCTAAATGGTTAAATTTGTTATTTGAGTTTCTGTCTGATAATAATCTCCAGGGATTCATTATCTATCTTCGGAATGTTTTAAACAGCCCATGGGCGGGTTACGGCCTTATTTATTAGGATTGCTCAGTGGATTTTCCTCATGTCAGATAATCGTACTGATTTAGATACATAATTAGTTCATCAGAATAAAAGCCATGGAGTGCTGAACCAAGCAGCTGAAAAGGGAAGTGAAAAAGGAGAAGTTTCTAAAAAGAAACCGTGGATTATTTAGTTTAGGAGAATTCATCTTGCGGCTATAAGGGGAAACGTGAAATGTGATCACGTGAGTTTAATATTCCCGCAAAACAATAAAAATATATCAAGAGAGTTCAAAATCAACTGTGTCATTTCCATACTGACCCACATTGAAATATTGTTCATTGAATCACTTTAACATTGATTACGTCTTTAGTGTAAATCTCATGTCTCTGATATACAGGCGTCATACTGTTTCCCTTTTTAGTCTTCAGATTACAATAATTAAGCTTAATAGATCATATTAATGTAAATTCTTGTACCACTTTTACCATTTTCCGCCTGACAACGATATATATACTTTGCTCGCCATTGGAACATAATGTCCCTCGTCAAAATGGTCGAGCTGCTCTTACGTATGTGAAGAAAACACGGATCATCGACCTGTATTTTTCATCACTGTTTGTTAACTTCACATAGAAGCTGCATTTTTTAAATCCCAAAGTTCTTTTGGCTGCTCCAAAATGTATGTGTACAATTTTACACACATTTCCTTTTAGTTCAGCACGCCATGTTTGAATGTGTGATTGTAAAAAAGGAATTCGACTTTTCCACCGACGGTCCGCAAGGCTGGAAGAGATTAACAGCTGTGAGTAAATGTTTTCATCCGATGGAATTATCGTTTTCTCTTCCAATTAAATGGTATTCGATGATAATATGCGAGCCAATCCGAATTAACCAAGCAAATGAGCGCAGCCGGGGTTTTAACAAACAAACTCGCAAATGCAAAGTGCCGGTTCCGGCTCTGTGATATTTTTCCCTCAATAAATACTAATCTTGTGTGGCTGCTTTTGTGGACTCCTGATCAGTTGTATTTGGCTTTTTCTAAGAGAACATCTACTGTTCATTCTAAAGTAAAGGACGGTTTCACTTCATGTGTTTTTGAGACACAAAGTTAAGCGATTGTCAGTCGCTCAGTGTGAAATTCTGATTACACTATGCATGACAAATAGTTCTTATAATGCTTTTTGGGTAAATGTACACCTGTGCGGGAGCCAAACATCTGCTTGTGTTTATCTCCACTCTTAACCTTCTGTAGATTCCCGTCTGCACTCAATACGGCCGTAATAAAACATCTGTGCCTCTCTCTCTTTGTTTGTCTGTGACAGCCCTTTGGGAATTTCACTGAAATAAGACACAAAACTGTTACACTATCACTTTACTGCACTGCCAGGAGTTAATACAAAGGGCAACGAAAACCCTCAAACAGACGCTCATACTTTTAAAACTTTTTGGAAAGGGGACTAAGTGTAAATTAAACTGCAATGGCACCAAACGTCGGCATGAGTTTCTTTCTTTTATGCTGAGCTCAACAACCACCAATAAATATGTTTATTCGTGAATAAAATCACTCAAGGATGCTTGTAAAATGTGGCACTTAATGTTGCAGAAGAAGCCAGAAAACAATACAATCCAGACGGCTTGAAGTTTTAAGTCATTGAAGTATAATTTCTTCATTTTAGGCATTTTGAGGCTAAGCTAACTGATGACATCTCTGGGGATCATTAAGGGACTGGAGCTGCACAAACACACTGCCGAGGTGGTTTAGAAAGATGAACCACAACAAGGACAAAGCAAACATCTCACACTCGTCTCATGTGTCTCTCTGAGGTTTGTCGGCCTGACTCCGTACTGTCTTCATGAAGCGCTCACACCTGCTTCTGCTCCCTCCGAGCCTCAAACGCAACCAGCCTTTTCTTCGCTCCGCGCAACCAAAGTTATGGCCGCCAAAAGTGAGACATTCACTTTCCAGGGGCGGCCATGTTTACCTGGGGAGCAATCTGGGCATAAATGTGTAGGAAAGTAAATGTTCACGTTGATGCTGATTTCAGTGGATTCTGTTTGTTGAACTGTGGTTTGGATGGAAAACACCTGAAAGTGAGGACTCCCTCATTAGTAACACACCTGACGAGGCGTTTCATTACTGAAAGAGAAATAGACTCAAAGTGTGGGCCACACGCAAGAAGGAAGGAGTGATTCACCCATTTGATATGTAACTCAGGCTTCCTCACCCTCCTTACAGCCCTTCTGAGGATTCCCCTCACCGTGAAATCTCAAATCTTCTGCTTTTTTGGTGTGTTTTAAACTTTTTAGCTCAGACAAATTGTGTTCGATTGAACAGAGGCAGGTAGCCCAACATGCTGGAGGCCGTCTGCAGCCCTGCGTGTGCGGGAATGTACAAGGTGTGATATTTTAAAAACAAACAAAATGTCAGTGGAAAAGAGGCCGAGAATCAGAAACAAGTGACATTCTGCTCATTGACTGAAAAGACGTTTCGTCGCGTGGGGAAAGTTCATTCAAGATTCTTTGAAACTTTAGATTTGTGAGACAATAGATGTGTCTCCCACTCACCACTGCAACGACATCGTTCGTACACATCAATGCCCATTTTTTTGTTTCGTTACTGTATTGCTCGTGGGCAGCTGCATCGTTTCTTCAGAATGGAAAAAATAAGCTATTTTTGTTAGAAGTGTTTTAAGTGTCATGGTTTCATGTCAAGTCAGGTTTGTGTTATATTCCTGAGAGGTTCCAACTGAATTCCTCTCATTTAGTTGTCGGTAACATAAAGCTGATTCTATGGAGTTGTTGGTGAAATCATATCATCGTTTCCGTGGTTGAAGTCACTACATTCCTGTAACTAATCAGTTCGACTGGATTATACATTCACTTATTGTCAGAATCAGACATCTCGTAAGTAATAAACCACAAAACTGCTGAATAGAAACTGCTGTGCTACATCAAGGTTTTAGACCTTTCATAGTTTAGGTATTAGCTATTGTTTATTGTCTCTACAAAGTATTCTAGATTACAAGTATAGTCCACTGCGCACAGATAAGAAACTATTGTTATTTACGTACAGTACACAAAGCAATAACGTTGCAATGTAGATGCTACAGTGACCGTCATGCACAGGTGCACACATCTGTTTAACCATTATGTTTCATTTCCTGGTTCAAAGCACTTTATCGCTGGTCTTCTGGTGAGCATCGCCTTGCTCTGCAGTTTAAAGTCACGTACGTTTGATACACGCTGGAGAGGCATCACTCTGTGTCTGTCACCTGGTTACAAGCGAAACGGCAAAGTAGAAAATTAAGTATAAATCTGAGACGGATCAGTGGTCCATCACAGCGAACCAGTTGTTCAAGCACTAAAACCTGCATTTAACTCCAGACAAACTTGAGGGGAGTTTACAGCAGATTATTTTCAGTTAAAGGGCCGTGCGTTATTTAGAAATAACTGCGCTGTTTACACCTGCGGTTGGTGGCCAGGTGAATGTTTGTTGACTGTCTGAGAACTCGCACATCAACCCGCTGAATGCTGCACCTGTTCAGAAGCTGCTCACTGGCACAATATGGCACCAACATCTGCCAGATGTTTACATGGGTTTGTGGAACAAACACGAACGCTTTATATTACTCATACATTGTGTATGTCACGGTTGTCTCAGGTACTGGATACGTGCTCCTGGTGGAATGATGCCCGAGTGGAAATTACAAGAGGGAGGGAGACACACTGGTTCCGAAATATCAGTTTCGCTTTGAATGATTGTGTGTGTTTGTGTGGGATCGTTGCTGAAAGGCAAACGGTGAGAAAGAGGACTGAGTAATAGCCTTGCAAAGGGAATCCCGATGTCTCATAAGAAAACACTTCCAAAGATGTTATATTTTCATAACAATGCAAGGGGAACACAGCTTAGTAATCACCTCAAGGAGAAACAATGAAGTACACGCTGAGACGGGAAAAAGAGTGGTTTTTTTGTGTATTTATAAATGAAGTTGTTCATAACACCATTTCATAATTTTGGCTCTGCACCCTGAACGTAAAGAAATAGTTTGCTGTGACCATGCGGCCCTTTTGTTTATCGATACATCTGATTACGTCCTGATGAACGTACTAAAACAGGGAAGGCTCACCTCATTTTACTCAATGAGTCACTACGACTACAACTGGACAGCGACGCGCAACATCCTGGCTGTCACCTGACCTCTGACCTCTCAGTGGTCAAAGTCATATTGACTAAGACAAAAATCATTAAGGTTTTTACAACAACCGGGTAAAAAATCGCTGCCGGTAATTATCGTCCACGGACTTCAACCACTCACAACAAACCTGGAGACAAATGTTGAATAGAAAACTCTAAATATTGTAGGTTGTTGTTGTAGTTGTCTTTTCAAAAAAGAAAAAGAAAAAACATAAATGTATAAAGATAGAACTTTATGATATTTGGTTGATGTGAACCCTACCAAATTAAAGAAGAGCATCGATCTTTGAATCGTATTTCTTAATTCCAATTGCATGTGCGTGAAGAACAGTACGAGACTTTGAACAGACTGAAATGTGCACACAAAACATAATAGTCACACACAAAATGTCCTCCGTATGGACACAGAATATTACATCCTACGGGACGCCTCACGGGACTTTTTTTTATTTGATGGGTGTTTAATTTGAGTGGTTATTAATGAGGAATGGACCAACATAGAAGATGTTAGCAGATTAATACCATTAAATAAACTGAAAGGGAGGAATGAGGGGAAGCAGATTTACAAATGCAAAGACTAAAAGAACAGATAAAAACCATCACAAAACACAAAATATAGGAACGTGAGGTAAAAGTTGAGAAATAAAGGGTTAATAGCTGATCCGTTGCTTTTCAACGCAGCAAAGAAACGGTACATAGAAATGTGCAAAAGTACAAAACGTGGAGGTGCATTTGTCAATGTATACGCGCGGTAAAATGACCATCTCTATTCAAGTCATTCAGCTGCCGGCTAACATATTTGTATAAAATCACGTCAAATCGGCCATTTGTTAATGTCCCTTATGTGGATATTATTTACGTTTATGTGGATATTATTCACGTTTATGTGGATATTATTTAGAACATTCTCTGTGTTTATATTATTCGGATAACAAGCAAATCGTATGCGGATCCTGTACAGACCGCCGTATTGGGATGGATGATTACTAGTATTTGTAAAATATATTGACAAACCATTAATTAGTTTTATTTCATATTGATCAACAGGACATGAAGGAATTTGATAAATGGTTTGAGTTTCTACCAAACATGGACCCTAAATGAGTTTTTAGCTTTTTTACGGAGCAGAACTTTGAATTATTAAAACCCCCTGCACCGAGGTCCCACTGTTTATGTGGATCAATGTGCGTCTGGTTAAGTTACATTACACTTAATAATAATAAATGCTGTATGCCACTTCAATGTGACATGTAGAATGCAGCACGCACATATGTGTCAACAGCATAACCGCATTTCTTCAGGAATTGTTGGAGACATATTTTTAGCTAATAAGGCAACTCCTCCTCCGCATACAGCATTTGCAATAAATAGCAATATAAATGTCCTTTGACCCATTACAGGACTTAGTATTTCAGTATCAGCGAGTTGTTTGAATGAAAAACGTTAAACTTTTAAAGCTACACGATCATCGTTCATGTTTGTTACTTTGAAGGCCTCTAAGTTTCACCCCTTAGCAACAGCGGACACCAACAGTTAACAGTTTGCTATATCCTGTGTTAATACTACATATTTCCAGCTATCTCCTCCATAACATCTGTTTGTGTGTCAATCCAGTACAACGCCCCATTGATTGCAAAATCAACAAAACGGCGCATTTGCTGTTGCATAAGTTCTGAACTTTACGCTTCAAGAAAGCGAATAAGAAAGGATTCTATTTTAGGCCTTTCTGATTTAAGATTTTGAAATCCTTCCTCATGAGCATCAAACACAAAGAGAGTCATCGGGGGGCAATAAACACATCGAGGCTGACACATTAAAACGATTATTTCAGGCTCATGATAAAACGAGTCATCTGTTATCCTCTTAGATTTAATATCAGGAGACGTTCAGCCAAACCAAGTTTTACAGCTCAAAGTTTTTCTTAGAATTATAATTATTTGAGATAATTTGTGTCAGTTTGAGGGGAATTAAGAACAAGACAGAGGAAAACAAACCATGGCCAAGACAACACAAAACCATCAGTGTGTTGCTTGAGGGCCGGCAGGAGAGCAGGTTTGAGCCCCTCGGTGCCCTTTGCTTCTGTCAACAAGAGAGCATCTTCGGCAGAGTTCGCCAGTATTTGTAGAACCTTTTTTCCCCTCATGTACAAACTAGGCTATGCTGCCGTATGTCGACTTCTCCCAGTGACAGAAGCCCTTAAATCAACTCCCAAAACCAGTAGAACGCTGTGTGAATGCAGCATGTTTAGAAGTACTCACATGTGATGTTCTCAGTGCAGCGATGATTTGAGCTCTGACATTTGGTAGACTGTGTGCAGTGCAGGTGGCTCTTTCGCTGACACACACACGCGCACACACAGACACACAAACACACACTCACGCTCATACACAGGAAGTCAGACACCACTATGATCCCATCCTTTCTGTTACATGCTGAATGGATTACAAAGAGTTATAGTGCGACACACGCGCACACACACACACACACCTACACACAATGTAAAAGTCGGAAAAGTTTGTTACAAAATACCAGAATTCCTTAACTCATACAAGGTATCATACATCCTTTCACTTTTGCACAGTACATACAAATATGTATTTATGTATGTATGTGTGTATATGTATTGGTACTGTGTGTGTGTGTGTGTGTGTGTGTGTGTGTGTGTGTCTCTATGTTTGTATGTATGTATACATCTATATCTATATATATAGATATATAGATGTGTGTATGTATGTATGAATGTATGTCATTGGTGGTCTTGTGTTACTGTGTGTACCAGGTGTTTACTGTGTGCCAACACTTGCATTATTTCTGCACCAGTTGTGGGGAATCCAGTGCTTCTGAAGCAACACAGGCAGTTTAAGGTTTATTCAAGAGCATTTAATATTATGAGAAACAAGTTGGAAGTTATAATCTTTAACATTTATATATTTTTAAAGCCTTTAGGGTCATTATGGCCTTTCTTCCCTGAACTAAGATTAAACATGAACACAGTGTCTCTATAATTACTGCTTTGAAAGTAGTTTGAATCGTTACTGACGGACGTCCTTGCACTGTTTTGGAAACACCGCAGTGAGTATTCACAGGGAACAATACGCATTTGACTTTTTGTGATTTTATCTCACCGAGATAAAATTTTTATCTCACAATTTGCTTTTGTGTTTATTGAAAGAGGTTATCTAATCTAAAAGAGGTTACAGTTATCTAATATTGAATTTACCCATCATGGAAAAACAGTAAACATATGGACATATTTTGGCATCTACCCGATGCACATAAACACAAGAAAGGTCTTTCAAAATCAACTCAATTTATTTTTCAATGGAGAGCGCAAAGACGTCCTGTCTTTTTTACAAGTTAACATGAGGCATGAATGACAAAAACAAGCACAGGCTGACATTGTTCTCCTTTGCAGTGGAGGAGCATATTTGCATTCAGTTCACTGTTTAAAACTTCAAAGCGCCCACATCATTACATTTGATTTTTATTTTTCATCTTGAGCATTAAAAAAGCAAACTTACATTCGTGATGCATTCACACAAGGGCTCTCTCTCTCTCTCTCTCTCTCTCCCTCTCTCTCTCTCTCTCTCTCTCTCTATCTATTTCTCACTGTCCCTTCCTCTCAATCTCGCTCTTCATGTTTCTCTTTCTTCATGTTTGTCTCTCCTTTCTTTCCATCGGCCTTTCATGTCACAGCTTTAGCAGGGGTTGCAGACGGGCGGCTGGTTGCTTCTCTCGCCGGCGTCCTTGCCGCGGTTTCGCTGCAGCTGCTGGGCTGCGATAACGAGAGGAAAGAAGAGAAGTTTTCACACTAATTACGCCACAATAATGAAGCACTCGGTAAAAGGCACAGTGAAAATGAAGGTCAAACAGTCATTCATATAAAGTGAATGGAGTCTATAAGAAAGCATCTGTAAAGTGAATAGAAAGAGCTGGAGGGGAGATGCAGTCATTTATTTACTAGACAGAAGCCGGTTAGGAAGATTTACCAGTTACACTGGCAGTACTTCTTCGGCTGCAGTTGCTGTCGTCCATTCTTCATCGTTATTTTTCTCTGTAGCGGAAAGAAATTAAATCACACTACAATGATTTTGTTTGCTTCAGTCATCCGCCTCCCTTCATCCCACCCACTAAGTCCAATCCCCAGAGCAGCACGTGCAGATTCCCTGTGTGATTTTTCATCACCAACCTTCTTTCTTTTGAACCTCTTGCACAGGACAATGACGATGACCAGGAGGAACACCACGACCAGGCAGCCTAGTCCAACTGCGACCCAAATCCACCAGTTGAGGCCCAGCAGAACAAGAGGTGGAGGCGGAGTGACAGCTGGTTGAGCCATGAAAACACACCATTGGAAAGAAGCGGGGAGTCAATGACACGTGGAGTACAGAATCCCCGTTGTTGTTGTTGTTGTTGTTGTTGTTGTTGAGCGCGGATGGAGGGTTTACCCGAGGGACCGCAGTCGAGGCAGGTTGGCGTCGGGCCGGGCTTTGGTCCTTGGGAAGGGGATGGTGGACTTTCAGGAGCCGGTTCTGAAGTAAAAACACAGCACATCTCGTGCTCACTCGTCGGGAGCTTTTGACGGCGTTAAATCCACGTGAAAAAAAACGAGAACAAACATTTGGTGAAAGCCGGTGTCCGACCTTGAACTTCTCTGATCAGGTTGTGTTTGTGCGTCACCCCGGCGTGGGAGAACGTACACTCCCAGATCCCTGCAGAGCGGTCCACAGATTTGAGTGACCCAGAGTGTGAACGTCCATCCTTTACCCCACAGTGGCTGTTGTCCCAGACTATCACAGAAAGGGGGAGCGGGTACGTGGGAGAAGATCAGAGAGAAAGAGAGAGTTGAGGTCCTCATTCTTATCATAGGGAACGTGGAACGCCCTTTGGGCGTGATAAAAACATTTAAATGAAAGTGAAGTGCTTTTACTGCACAAAGAACTGTTTAGCCGGGAGCTTTCGAAACGTTTGAAGGCGTAATTCTTTCATGGGGGGTGGGGGGGGGGGGGCAATGTTACAGACTTTTTTACTCAATTCCAAGAATAATCACTTAATTTGAAAAATTTGTATCAATCTAATAATATAAATGGGAAGGGTTTATTATCTGTTACACAATAAAATGAGTACCAATACAAACATGCACTTTTAATTTTCGTTGTAACGATGAGATTTTATTTGTATGTCTTCAGCTCACCTGAGACCACAAGAAGTGTTTGTTCTTCACGTTTCCGATCTGCTGTGCAAATGAACGTTCCGGTATCTTCTTCCTTCACATTAACGATCTCTAGGTCTGTATTCCTCACCTTTGTCCTTTGGATAATTTCAGTTAACCCTAAAACAGAACATACATTGAGTGGGATTAACGACATTTCAACTGTTGTTGAGTGTTGCCTAAAGTCCGTCTGTACCTTTGCGAGGGAAGCCGGACATTGAAACACTGTGTATCAGGTCATTTCCCTGATGCCACTGCAGGGTTTTGAAGGTCTTGACCCCACACTCCAAGGTGACCTTTTGCCCGGGACTTATGAGGACCACTTTGCTCGCAGCAGAAAGAGAAGCAAGCGCTGAAGAGAGAAGATCACGTTCATGAAGCACTTTTCACTTTATTCAAAGGATATTTCAAAGGAAAAACAGGAAATTCTGTGTATGCAGACAAAGACAAAACTGTGTTATTGTAATATATTTGACTACTATTGGATTGGATATATATATATATGTCCAATATATGTCAATAACTATATATGAGTTAAAAAGGCAGTTAATCAGGTTAAATCTGGGATTTTTACTCACCAAACCCAAACAACACAATGGTTTTCATTTTAAAAGTAGGATCTGAGTGGAAAAAGTAACACAAATTTCAGTGAAGATAAAAGTATTTAATGTATAATGCAGTAGTTCACGGTGTGAAAGAGATATCACACATCTTCTGTTTGAGACAAGCACTTCCCCAAAAAACATGTCATCCATAACCACCGAGCTAGCTTTCTACTTCCTTCCTCACTCTACCTCTTGTATTACGAATGTAAAACTGCAAACTTGCATAAAAATAAAAATAAAATGTCACCAGGAAAATTCCATCTTGTGTTTCGGCTCTTTGAAAATGAATTAACATGCTCAAGAATGCATGAAGAAATTTGATGTCATAATTTTTCATTTCTTACTGATACGGCAAAGAGTGAAAAAATGTCGTGCAATTCAGACGAATCCTAATCAGTGTTTTCATTACGGTTTAATGAATTTCAAAGTCTGAAGTACACATTCCAGTTTAAATATTTAGTCATAAATCATATCTTTGGTTTAGTGGATAACCAAAACGGGCAATATAATTAGTAAATACTTAAAACTAACTAGAAGCTCTCCTTTAAACTCCTTTCAATGTTTTTTCTTTTGTGAGGCAAACGTTTAATATTGAGATAAGATAGAATCAGCTTTAGAATCCGCCTTCATACATACAGACCTCAGGCTTTTACACGAGGGTGCATACATTTTTTTTGTCATATTTAACCTATAATCTTACACGTTGGTTTCTAAACAAATTGTAGTTTTATTAGAGATATAATAGGACACGCAACAACCTATAAGGTACATTTTTATAACTAAGGTGATTCATCGATGACGTTAAGATCGACATTGCGGTAAAAAAAAGGATTTGGAATAGTGACTTTAAACCCAATATTTGCAGCTAACTATGTAAAACTTGATTTCACAATCTAGTTTGAGATCTTACCTTATTTTAAAGCAGTGCAGTCGTAACTGAAGGCTTTCCTCGTCCTTACTTCATCAAAAGCCAAAGCACAAGGATACAGAAAGTGTAAAGAGGCGGAAGAACGAACACGCTCTTTGGCGTTGTGGGCCGATGCCAAACCTTCGCTCTTTGTGGCTTCTGCTCCTCGTGCTGGTGTTCTCTCACAAACTAGGCCATGGATCCTCTACATACAACAGGTTGGGTTTTTTTTTACATGAAGCTGAGAACTCTTCTCAGTGGTTCACTTTTAATCAAAAGCAGCTGGGAAACAAACACAGAAGGGAATTGCTGAATGTAAATAAGAACACTATGAAGACTTCAGAAAAAGAGAAAGGCAAAATGTCAGACAACTCTTTATTTGTCACAGCAGAAGTAACAAAGGATTTGTTTGCAAAATGAAACAGGAAACAAACCACCCAGATATCACCCTCACCAAACTAATGAAAAAAACTGAGGATTACCGTTGGTCAGGTTTAGCGTTGTGACTTGTTTTTCTTCTTTTCGTAACACATATTTGAGCTGTTTGTGTGACTAAGTGGCATTTCCTCTCGTTGTGGACATTTAACAATGTTTTTTTTTTTTTTTTACTTAGATGTTTGCTGCCCGGCTAAAATGTTGACACCGTCCAACGAAAGCAACATATTCTGATGGGGGGGGTGTCTGTGACAGTAGTCAGGGCATGAATTATGAGACAGCCAAGCAAGGAGAAAATCGATTAAGCAACCCTCTCATGTTCGGGGGGCCTGTTTCATGAAGCCGTCCGAATTATCTGGATACAATTTCTGAGTAAAACCTGGAACACGTGTTTTAACCGATTTTACTCGGCACAGTTGTCCTGGTAAATAAATGAATGCGCTTCTCTTTAACGGGCTCATGGATTGTAAATCAATGGAACAAGATTCCCTCCCAAACACCCGGCTTGTACGTCTGCATATCTCCCAGTTAAATGAATTACTGCAATCTGAGAGACTTATTTACACCCAAGTCAGTTGTGAAGCATGCCGGGGGACTTGTAAGAGCTTGGTGGGAGGTGACTACAAATGCTGTCTTGTGTGTTTGTGTTAGCGGCCATGATTCCTCTCCTTCACCCCGGGTCCAACGTGTCCTCGCCTCATTCAGCCACTCTCCGGTAGAAGTAGAGGTACCCGAGGTCTTTGGGAGGTTTCTCTGAAGCGCAGACCTTCTGATCGTTGAAGATTACCCACCTGTGAAAGAGAGAGACGGCTCAGTGCACGAAGAGCAACTTGATCACAAAACAGGTTATTTATTTGATTATGGATACAAAAAGGGTGGCTTTTTAAATCTGATTAGAGAATAAAATGTCCGTCACGTGGGCAAAGTGACAGTTGCGTTGTGATCTAATATGATGGCCAACAAAATCGTGAGAATATTAGAATAATAAAAAAATCATTCGAGTACCCTAAGGTCATTATTTGTTAAAGATAAAAGTTGTGCAAAAAGAATAAGTTATAACAGGACAAAATCAATATTGTTTATTTAAAACCACATGTGCTTTCCCCGAGTAGGTGGAGTACGGGGCCCCCTGTTGACGCACTGCAGTGATGAATTAGCTATTACATTACGTGAAGTCAGTGTGAAATGGCGGTAATGTAAAGTATTGGACTACTGCTGCGTTAAATTAGATTACTATTAGATATTGATTTAAAAAATGCCATTCATGCATAATTAAAAAGTTCAGTTTCAATGATCCGCATGTTTAATCAATATTCCTCTTTTCGGTGCAACAGAAAGCAAATCAATTTCCCTCTGAGAGTAGAATGAATTTTTTTTTGGTTCTAAGGACGTGAGATGTTTATGGAATAAATTCTCGCAGTGATATATTCTAAACAGTTCGGACATATTGTGGCCTTGAAAGAGGAAAAATGACACTTACTGCTGATCCTTCTTGATGTGACAGACGTAGTGGCCGCACATTGTGCTCGTCCCCATGTGGCTGACGAACGCAAAGAGCTCATACTCTGAATAAAGGAGAATTCATGATAAATTATAATTAGAACAAATATGATACACATCATACAATATTAAAACAAATCATGAAGGCAACGTTGCAGCTGTCTACATTTCTTGTTATTCAACCTTTCTCTCTTCCGGGAGACTTACTGCCTGCGCCGTCTTTGACACGAGGCCCGGGGGGAGGAGGGTCTCTGCCCCCCTCGCTCTCTGCGGCTGAGCGCCCGCCTTCCGACACGTCCATGGACTCCAGGTCGTCCAGGTGGGAGAAGATCCAGTCCACGGCCCGCTCCAGGACATTACTCTGCGACAAGCAAACACCAGTTAAAGGAGACGTGGATTTAAATGGACTATTTTGTCAAATAGAAGATCTACAGGTAGAACGTTTAGCATGTTTCTTCCTAGATCATATTATCACATTATATCTAGCTCTTGCTCATTTTTGTTGAGGTACTAATGACTAATGAACAAACATCACTGTCTGAACACAAAGGGGGCAGCTGTGCTTGTATTCGCACTGCTCCACCTCTAGAAGGGGAGGAGTTCTAACCGTGGCCCGAAGTGCTTTGGTTGCCTGGTCTCGGCTGAAGCCCATTGAGACAATGGTTGCCAGGTGCTCCTCAGAGAGGCTCTCAGTGGGTGTGGTCCCGGGCCCGGAGCTGCAGCCCGGCAACACCAGGGGGGCCGCAAAGTCTACAGCCAATCAGAAGGAGCAGAACATTTGTGGGAGTGAGAGGAGTGACCAGATTCATTGAGAACTGGCTTTCCGGTAAAAATCGCACTGCTCTGCATACCTGGGTCATCCATATGGCTCATGATCCAATTCATGGCAGCATCGATTCCAGTGTTCCCAGTGTAATACACAGCTTTCCTACAGGCCTCCAGTGGGAATCCCATTTCACATAACTGGGACACAGTGGAGTCATCAAGGACTGGAGCTGAATGTGTCAAGAGGAAAAGGTTGCATAAGTTGGATGTACGCTATGCATTTCACATTGTTAATAACGTCAATGTCATGACATTTAAATATATGTTAATGCACTCTATTTGGAGGCCAGGGGATGACACCAACTTTTAATTGAATAACTCAAATCCCATGATACAAAAGCTTTAAAAAAAAACAAAAATAAAATATGGAAACAGAAGGACGCAAGAAAAAAAAAAAAAAAGAAAACCCAGAAAAAAAGAAAAGGAGGAAATCAGTATGGACAACTGGGAGTGAGACAGAAAAGAGCAGAAACGACAGACAGACTAACACAGCAGTGGGGAGTAGAGCGAGTCGTCCTCCTCGTTGCCATGGAAACCCAGGATACCTTTAACCTCCACATCTGGGGTCATGAGTGGGGGCGGGGCCACCTCTGGTAGAAGCTCCTCGCCCGGCTGCTGGCCAGTTGCGCGCAGGGCGCTCAGGTCCAGAGTGTCAGGAACGTCAATGCTCACGTCTGCAGAGGGAAAACACCAATTACCCACTTCCATCCAAATATTCGGTTGAAGCAATATTGGTGAATGGGAGCTGCTAAAATGCATCAATATGTGCTCTGAGTTGTCCTGTGCCTTTGTGCTATTGGCTGGTAAATATTCATCCCCAGGTAAACAGCCGCCTTCCACTTGTGTAACATTTTAGGGGAGATTTAGTTAGTGGCTTTTTAGCATGTTGCCGCCAGGTTAATGCAAAAATCAATCAATCTTGCAAAGATCAAACTCAATCTTCCAAAATCTCGGCGATATAACGTTAATGTTTGTTAACAAACTGCACAGGAAATTTAAAAAAATGTTTGCCGCCAGTGAAGTGAGAACTGAAAATCAGCGTTGGTCTCAGCTCAAGCTCTATGCTTACGAGAGGAAAGAGAGACTTGCAATTACTCGTAGTAGCAGACACCGACCAGTCATTCAGGAACAAGTGTTTTGCATTTGGCATCGGTTTATGACAACTGTCTAAACAACAGTGAGCCTGAGATTACGAAAAGAAATGAAAATAGAACCAAACAAGAGAAGCAGCATTTATCCTTTTTGCTCCACATATCTGGAGCCAACTCCTGGAGAACTGCAGGTCCGCAGACTCTCGGTGGCTTTTCGGTTTGCTGCCACCTTTAATTGATCCGGATGAAGTGGATGCTTTTCCTTTTATTTGATAAACCTCACTGCAAATTTTATTCTCCTTTATTGCTTTAATGTCGGTTTCTAAATTCGCTTTTCTTCTGCCTGATGTTTTAATGGTGTTATGTGAAGCACTTTGAATTGCTTTGTTGTTGAAATGTGCTATACAAATAAATCAGCCTCGCCTGTACTACATGCGTACATTTAAATACAACTATGAGTATTAAATACAACACGCAGCCCTTCAGACTATACCATGCATTAAAAATGTCGTAGTGAGCAGATATCCAACTCTGTAAGGATTAAGAATACACAATTTTGTGTATAGAAACAAAACTATTTGTCTTTTATTAACAGCTTTGCTCACCCAGTTTTTTGGGAACCCAGTCAAGGCCAAAGGTGAACTTCTTAATTTGGATGACCAGGTGGTCGGGGAAAGAGGCAAAGCGGGTTGTTCTGAAAAATGAGAAGAAAAAGCGGTTATTAATAAATACATCTTGGGATCTGTTTCATCACTTTCAGCATGTGTCGCTGTCTCTCTCGCTGTCTCGCACTTGGTAGCGGTAGTCTTGGACTGCACAGCCGAGCTCCAGAAGTCTGTGAGGATCTCCGGTTCACTGAGGGCCGCCATGCAAGCTGTGAAGGGGATTTGTGCGCGCACTGTGGGGGCGGATGAGTCCCCTTCCTCACGCCGGCGCTCTGCCTCCTGAAGCTCTTCTGTTTAAAGAAAAACTCTCATTAATGAGACAAGGCTATTAAAACCACTACGCAGCGCTCGGCATTTCTTTCTAACACACCTGTGTTGGTGGCCTGGTCCATCGGCACCGGCAGCTGGACGATGTAGTCCACCCGCTGCGTGTACTTGGCTTTCTGCGATTGCTGACACACGATCCTCTCCTCCACCAGGAACCTGAAGGCTTCGGATGGGTTGGACCCAGAGCGACAGTTCCTCTGTGTGTTTGGGGAGGGGAGGGGGTTGATGAATATAATATAGGAAAGCTTGGGGCTGAGGAGAGGTGCAGAATTTGCATTTCTTTACCTCCACCATATTTATGAAGTGCAATAAAAACTCCTGCGCATCCTGTTGTCGATTCGTAGAGAACTCTGCGTGGCCCCGCCCAACAAGTGCTTTGAACATCCGTGGTGCTATACCAATTTGGTCTCCCTGCAAACAAAGCATCAACGGTCAGATTTGTGAGGGTTAATATTAGTTACACTCAGAAATAAGTTGAATTGTGGTCTATCTCCCACGTGTGCCATGGATAACTGTTAACACTGAATGCGTTTTCCTACCCGGGGTTCAGATGCACCATTTTCATCAGCAGGGTCTGGCGCTGGTTTGGAATACTCTCCCGACAACAGACCATAGCCGAGCTTGGCTCTGTGATAAACAAACACAGCTGACATCACTGCATCCAACAACATAGCAGAGGGGGATTTGGATAAAGGACGAGATGGATTTTACTTAAAGAGACGGAAAAACATGGGAGAACGTCTAATCCGGGAGAAACTTATCTCGGGTGGGTAGAAGAAGGTTTATGCATTAAAAGTGGGCATTATTTTAATTAGGCACAGCTTTGAGACGTTATTTTACAATACAAATTGGCTAAGAGGGAAGGGTGCTTGAGTGCAAGTGTGCAGGAATTCTGCTCTCTAAAAAGCGGTGTGCAAAACATAGCACTTAAAATCTTTAAATATACTTTTCAAAGAGTGTACTTTGCTTTCCTGTCATACAACTGGAGTGCTTTTGGACATCTAATGGTTACACAAGAGCTCGTCATAAACAATAACCAGACGTTGGAAGAGAGAACTCACACTTGGGTTTTGAAGTCCTGGGTGGGGTCACTTGGGGCTTCATCAATGATCTTGTCAATGTTAGAGACGTATCTGGAAGGCAATAAGAAGGATATGAAACATTATTTTACTGTTGATGAAGCGAAAATGTGAATATATATATATATATATATATATATAAACTCTTCTGCTTGATGGCAGTGTTTGGATCGCAGTCCGTCATAACAATCAACATTGTCATTTTTACATCACAGGAAGTGAGCTGGTCACCATAACGACTTGGACTAAAAAGGAGGATGGGTGCTATGAGTGGAGGAGGGTACTGACTTGTTCTGGAAGTCTGGAACGGTGAAGAGCACTTGCATGACAGAGTTGAGGTAGCAACTGTTACCCAGATTCTTCATGCCAGTCAAACCGGCCCCAAACATGGGCCGCAGGGTGGTCCCCGACTCCTGGATTACCTCCCACTCCCCCACGCGCTGGTTCACAGCGATTTCCAGCTCCGTCATTGTCCGTTCGGTCTGAGAGCAGAGAGGTCCAAGTGATAAGAGAATGAAGGGCGCAGTGTATGCAAAAATACATCAACAAGAAAATACAGTGTTGAGTAAAACAAAACTGCATAAAAAGAGAAGTATTTGGCAAAGACATGAATGGTAACCGGAAAATAGAATAAACAGGTGTGGAGTAAAGCAGACTGATGATAATAATGGCAATGCTAGGAAATTTCACTGTATTCATGTTTTTCATTAGTAATTTGTAATTCTGTCATCATTAAATTATGTGTTTGATAAAACATAAGTATTATTTAACAGTGAGTTGGTAGGGAGAAATGATAAAAGCCAGGATGAAATATTTATTTAAAAAAATATTTTTTCCTAAAATTATTTCCTATATGGTATGGTACTATCTATGGTATTTGTTTTCTTGGCATTAGAATAATTTGCAGTGCAGATGAATTTAGAGTGCATAGCAAATCTATGTACCAAACCTACGAGGTAAACCCGTAGAGACCTGGATGTCTGCCAACAAGTACAAAAGATCCAATATCCTTCACTAACTTTGTACCATGTAAATTGTGAAGTAACTTTGAACTTAATTCAATGTTGAACATAGCAAAACATTTGATTTCATATTTGTACAAGTTCAACATAAATACTTTTTTTTTAAGCCTGATTCAACTAAACACAGAGCTTACCTTCTCCATGGTCATCATGTTGATGCCAAAGTGAGCCAGGTGCTCCGGTAACTTGGAATCCAATACCATGTCATCCTCATCATAGGAATACACATCTGGACATACATAACAGGTGTGAAAATTAAAAGGCAATGAAGCAAAACACCTTGGAGAAAAAAAGCAAATTCTGTATAAAGTTAGGCAAGTTGTAATAATATAAAAGCCCCGTAGCCAATATAATGGCATCTAATCCAACCCAAAATCCTATTTTCTATCCTTTTCTGCATTCTTAAAATATCTTTTCGATTTGTATTATAAAATATCAGAGAAACAAAAGTAGAAATGCGAGAAATTCCCATTTTTGTGTCAGTCGGCTGGCAGTGTCAGTGTGTGATTGACATCAGGCTGAATGGCCAGCAGGGGGACACGAGAGCAAGTAAATAAACTTGGAAAATAATTGCAGAGAAAGGGCAACCCCAGGATCTAAACTGACAAAACTAACATTTGAATGTAGTTCAGGTGCCTTTTACATGTAATGAACCTGAGCAGACCATTTGCTACATCCACCTGCATACTGATGCAAGCAGTGAATTTGAGCTTGGATAGTTTGATTGGTCACTCATTCAACACGCTGATCTGTAGGACAATTTCTGTTCATATTTGTAAGTTAGATTTAAGATTTAAGCATAAAGGCTAACATGTGTTGTTGCTCAAAATCGATGGCTCTGGCTTTGTGTAGCAGACTGCCGTAATCAAGAGAGTTTGATTAAATGTTCAAGAATAGATTTCGCCAACGACAACAAAAAGCTGACTTTAACATTTTAACAACAGAATTATTGTTCCTGCCACCTGCTTACCTGCTCCATCAGGAGTGATAGTACCAAGTTTGACAGCAATTGGGTATCCTGTCTCCCGGAAGTGTAGAAGGGCATGGTTGTTGCCCCCGGAGCCGTCAAAATACCGGCGACCACACAGCAATTTGCCGTCTACCAGGTTCATCCAAATATTCTCCTGGAGGTCGCACACCTCACACCGCCAGCCGCTATGAGGCAGAAGACAAGTCACACACTCTCCAATAAAAGTGTTCTGAAAATAATGTTTAAACTGACTGACTAAATATAACTGAATAGCTATCTCAATTATACATTGCATAATCTAAAACACAACATTATTAATGTACAGATACAATTATGGATCCTAAATGCAAGACTGTCATTTGCAAACTGCAAATGCAAGAATGTACGCAATAACGCTCTACTTGGTATGTTTATCCAAAGGACAGAACTGACAGGCTCTCACCTGGGAGGGATCTTGACTCCATTGTCAAGCTGTTTAAGGTCAGCAGCATGCCTTGATTCCTGTCTCACCTCTCCATCCCATTGTTGAACTTGTAAGGCATGAGACACTGAATCGGCTGCCATGATACCCGCCATTGACAGGGACACCTGGAGGGGCGGTAAATAAATCAACAGGAAGAGATTAATCCTGACTAACAGCTCGTAATAAAACTTAGCCCTAATGTTACATTACGGAATTTTTACCATATATTGTTTGAAAGCATTTAACGACAATTGCAGTATTAAGACAAAGTGATATAATCATTCTCACATTGTAGAGTAGTAACTACATTATCTTGAGAATTATCTTGCCAGAAGAGACACAAGATCTCACCCGCTCTCTCACAACGTCGGGCATGGTAGCAAGGTCCTCTGATGTCACTTCCTGTCTATCAGGTAAGATGACCACCTTTACATCCTCCTCATACAGCTCCTGCTCCACATCGAACCCTCCTTCAATCCCTGGACAAAAAAAAAAGAATCAAAAAGGGAGGTAAACACAGGCCAGTCTCAAAAGAGGACACCCGTTTTACCTGCGTTTGTGGAAATACTCCCATGGACTCACCTATAGCCAATCTGGTGGGCTTTTTCTTTGGCGGGTGTCCAGATCCAGAGCTATTGTCATCTTCCTTCTGTAAGAATAACAAAGTATATCAGTGCGTCTAGAGGTTAGTTCAGGCATCTTGGTAAGCGATTGTAAAGAAAAAACATCGTGTAAATAAACGTAAATGTCGAATAGACTGGAGTTTTTAGGAAAAGTAGATTAAAGTGTTCACTGGTACCTTAGCCTTGCGAATCCGGGTTATGTGTAAGTAAGCCCTTTGGCCAGTCCGGGCATGGTACCGGTCCACATACTGACTTCCAAAGCCAAGGAAAGTGTTCATGCACACATACAGTCCTCCTTCGCTTTCCTGTAAAGCAGAAACGCACACGACTGAATGTTACACGCTGTCGGTGTTTCTCTGTAATGTGACACAATGCTGGGCAGTTGAAGCTTAACAAAACGTGGAGGTCTTACATATCTCATCAGCAGTTAAACTACTTTGGCATCCTGCTTATGCGTGCAAATGACCTCAAAACAGGTTAAATTATACTAAAGTCCACGCGATAATTATGACAACAGCAAAAAAAATGTAGAAACCACGAGCTTCAAAACACTAATCGCCCGAGCTAGCTGCGTTGACAGCATACCCATTTACACTGACATGGCTAACGTTAGCCAACAAGCTAGAGCAGCTAACTTTCCATTGCAGTGCATTATTAGCTTAGCTCGACGTTAGCTTGCTGGTTATTTCAAACCGGAAAATCTAGGACGTCAGTGCGTTGAAGTAAGACACAATGACCAAACGTCCCGTTAGACAAAGACAAGAAAGCGTGAGAGTGAACGAGAAATAAAAACAACACGGTTTGTTGGCTGGTGTTTTGATTTGTTAAAAGGGAAGATGGCTCACCGGCGAGGAAAATGACAAGGCGCATTCGTCTTTGTGGACACGGTCCCCGGGCTTCGGAACACGAATTGTGGATAACACGGACATCAAAACCTCACCGACCTCCGCCATGACAAGCTAGCTAATTCCGCTCTTTAGTGGGGAAACTTGCTTCTCTTTGTTTATACCCCCCAGCCTCTGTATTTCCGGGGCTCGGTAGAGTGTCTGTGGTCTAACCCGTCTGGTGTTGTCTGTGTTTGGCTGAATGAATCATGAGACGATGCCTTGTACTGAGGGGAAGGCCGAACAAACAGTTGCCTGCACGCCGAAGCGCTGCGCCTCGTTACCGTAAAGTGTGGCGTGTCGACCACCGCGGTGACTTCATCACACAGTGCGTTTAGACTCAGGTTGCTGTCAGTGAATCCAAATCACTTCTTAAAAGCGTATCTGTAGACGGGTAACCGATTAATTAACACATTATCGATTTACACGTCCACTGGATACTTTTTAAATTCACTTCAAGCTATTTTTCTGAGATTTACGGTAACGGCCGTTGAACTGAACCAACGACTTCCTCCTGGCGGCGACATCGCGGTACTGCAGCTCCGCTCGCCGGGCAACTAAAGCCCGACAAAACAAATCGCCTGACCGGCTCAAAACACTTCAATTCATCTCTTCTTGCTTGATTTAAACCGCACCGTGTCCAATTTATCAAACGCAAACGCGCACCACGTGAAAAGACGATCCCCATTACATCATACTGTATACTTTCTTCATTGCACTCTCCTTCACTCCCCAACTATTTCCTTTAGTCCCACCTCTCTCCCCCCCATCTGCTCCGTCTCCCCCTCCGCGGGGTTCGAGAGTCTCCCACCATGGCTGTGCCCGCGGGTCCTCGCGCCGTCTACGTGGCGCTTTTTCGTGTTTTCACCGGTGCATTAATAACGTTACTTCACTTCACCTCGGCCGCTCCGGGAAGAGTCGGCTCGAGCGCGCAGTCGCTGCTGCAGCCGTACGATCTGTTGTATTACAGCGGGGTGCGCTCTTATTTTGGGAGCGAGTGGGCGAACGCCGCAGAGCAGCTGGAGAAAGCCGTCATAACCAAGGAGTCACTGTCCACGGTGCGACGGCTGTGCCACGGTGAATGCGCGGCAGCGGGGACAGACGCGTTCCATCAACTGGGTACGTCGCGATGTGAAGGCCCTCCGTGTGTGTGTGTGTGTGTGTGTGTGTGTGTGTGTGTGTGTGTGGGTGTGTGTGGGTGTGTGTGTGTGTGTGTGTGTGTGTGTGTGGGTGTGTGTGTGTGTGTGTGTGTGTGTGTGTGTGTGTGAAAGAAAAGACAGAACGAAAACTTAGCAAATATGATATTGCTTTTCTTTGTACTCATCTTCAGATGTGTCTTGGGCAGCACAGGAACATTTATACATTGACAGAGTCAACACCTTGGTTGTGTTGTGCTAAAGGAATGGAGACAGGCAACGAGGTCCCGGACCTGAAGGAAGGCTTACAAGGCACCTACAACATGTGGCTGATTAGATTTGCTAATAGATTTGACCTCTGCTCAGATGGTTCCCACACAGCTGGTGTCGTGGAACTTCCTCACAATTAAAATCTTGAAATAATAAAACATTATGGCATCGCTATATTTTACCATTACACCATGTATTGTGCAGATAATGAACCTTTCATAATATCATTAGCAGATATAATCCATTAGGTTGCTAAATATATCCATTATTTTGTAATATAAATAGTGTGGAATGGGCCATATGGTCAGTTTGCATGCTTGCAATTTAACAATTTTGTAAACAATGATTATTAATGAGACATTGTTATCTAATGTTTTAAGGACCGACAGTGTTCAATGGCACATTATATTTCACTTTCAAAAACTGTGTTTCCTGTATTGCTAGACGCTGCAGGGGGGAGTCTGTGGGACCTGTGGGCCGTACACTGGGTTCAACGGAAGGCTGAATGTTTGAGGTTCTGCATCGGCCGCTCCGTCACGCCTGCTGCACAGCTTCCCGTATCCACCGACATAGAGTATGAATTCAACACGCGCAACGCCTACAACTTCCTGCAGGTCGTATACTACAAGGTGAGCCTCAGAGCGGCCTTCAGAGACACGCACGGCTCAACGTCCACGTCTCTCTAACCCCCGTTTACTCTCTCTCTTCCCGCACATCAGTTGGAAAAGTTGCAGAAGGCGGCGTCGGCGGCTCACACCTACTTTGTGGCAAACCCCAGTCACTTAGAGATGAGGAACAACATTGAGAAGTACAGACGAATGGAGGGGGTGACCGAGGAGGCCTTCCAGGACAGGGAGCTGGAGAACGAGAGACACTGGGTGAGGAGGGAGGGATGACGTCTTTGTCAAGGAGAGGGTCAAGGGGAAGCCGCGGGTGTCAGGTGGACGTTATCCATAAATAATGTAGAGTAAGGTGCATGAACTGCTTCGGTTTGCCTGTTCCTTCACAAAATAGAGTGTCAAGTATATGGAATATAATGGTAAGGAGATGCATGATGTATTTATTCAGCAGGAAAGAGATCAATCTTTGAATTTCACCACTTTCTAAGGTAGTTGAATTTCATATACATGTACACGTGTACATGATTTTTTGGGCTGCACAGGACTGATCTATTGAGTCAACATTAAAAGGAGGGATGGGACAGTCTTCTTTGTGGCGGAATTTAAATGAAGATGGGATGTTAGAAAGACAGCAATGGGACGGAGGGACGGACTTACCTCGCCCTCGCTCTCACTTTCTCCCATCCAGCAATGTAATCCAACACCGCCTTTACTTATTGAAGACACCTCTTACTCTGTCTGTTAGACTCCTAATGTTATAACATGATACGGCTTGTCTGAATGAGGCTTAAATTGTCCATGTAATGGCATGGCTTCCAAGCTGTCCGAAATGTTATAATACAACAAGTCAACAAGTTTTTACTCCTATTTCATCAGTAGAAATGAAAGAAGAATCTTTTTCAAGAATAGATCCTTTGTTTTCCTCTCTTTGCGTGTCGCCAAACCCAGGTGCTGTATGATTCTGCTGTTCAGAGCGAGGCCTCCTCTGACTGGGTGCAGGCATCAGAGAAATGGAAAGCTTGTGTGAATAAGACGCTGTGGCAGACGGACGAGTGCAGGGTGCAGTGCGAGGTGACCCCCCGAAGGCTGCCAGAGGACAGGGGAGTGGAAAGTAATGATGGTGTGTTCGAGAAGGCTGCAGGTATAAGATGAAAATGTAAAAAAAAAACACTACAAAGGAACCCAGACTGCCAGAAGAGAGACTGAGAAGAAGCCAATGACTCTGCATTTCTTTTCCATCCAGCTCTGTCCCTCTCGCTGCTCTCGTGCCGGCAGTCCTGTGTGACTCAGGTGGCAACAAGACCGGGAAGGCTTTCATCTCAGGAGGACTTCCTGCCCACACAGCTGGAGCATCTGCACATTGCACAGTTTAAAGGTCAGGGTTCAGAGTTCAAACTGCGCCTGTGCATCTTCCTTGTCAGTATCTTTGTGCCACTCCTCCTTATTTTGCGTTCCTGCTTGCTCGCAGCTGGTGATCTAAGCGGAGCAGTGCAGACACTTCGATCCCTGCTCTTGTTTTACCCCTCTGACAAGGACTCTTTGGACAACCTGCAGCTCTACTATGAGACACTAGGGGGAGACGCAGAGTCACCAGGCACACAGCCCGCACAGGTAACACTCGATGTCCATTACATTCTATATCTATATATATAGTATAATCTAAGATCCTTCCAGATTTACTGTTCAGTGACCTTTCAGAGATGGAGACTTATACATTTATATAGTATACATTTAATGTCCTTACCTATGTTCACGCTGTATTTGTCACACAGGAAATTGTCGCATACATTAGTCGTGCTTTAGAGGAGAAGAGGCTTCTTTATTTTGGGGTGGAGAACCTAGACTTCAGTTTCACAGACCCAGTAAGTACAGAGGCAAAAGTAGCCTATTGTCATCCACAAAATTACAACCACAAATGTAATCCCCTGTCTTTCCTTTTAAGGATCTTTGGACTCCGGAAGACGTTGTACCTGAATCACTAAGAAATGATTGGAGGTGAGAATGACAGAAGTCAATCTGCTGGGTGTCAAGAGCTCTTGCAAAAGTTAATGGGAAGTTAACTTTACTATTTTTCCTCTTTCAGAGCTGAAAAAGAGAAGATAAATGATAAATTGAAGGAAGGGGAGCAGATGGAGGAAGTGGATGAAAGTGGCTTTTTTTCAGGCGAGACAATAACCCTCTTATACCAGTTTACCAGCCACTATACCAGCAGTTAAGATTGTGCCAATGTCTTCTCTCATCCTTTCCTTATCTGTCCTTGCTCCAGGTGGTCCTGTCCTCCAGACGGGCGTGACCATCACCATGGATGACCAGCTAATGAACGGGACCAACCGCGTGGTGCTTGACGGGGTCATGACAGAGAAGGAGTGTGACAGCATATTGCAGTTAGCCAAGGTAAGTTTAGATCGGTGAAAGTCGGTTCTACTTAAATAGGAAGAGGGACGCGCTCTTCCATCCTTTCATCTTGTCTGCCACAGGCTGCAGCGTCCGCTGGGGATGGTTACCGGGGACGGCGGTCTCCGCACACGCCTCATGAGACGTTTGAGGGCCTGACTGTCCTCAGGGCCGTACAGGTGGGTGAACAGGGAGAAATGCAAACAAAAATATGAATAACCTTTACTTAAAATGTAATTGACCACATGTAACTAAATTGAATACAGTAGTTCTGATCATCATGCTCTGGCATAATTCATGAAGTTGGTGTCTTTCTATCCCAGCTAGCGCAGGACGGCATGGTGAACCAATCAGACGCCCGGCTGTTACACAAGCTGGGCGAGAGGGTGAGAGAGCTGCTGCATTCCTACTTCAGGAGCCCCCCGGATCTCTTCACCTCTTTCACACACCTTGTCTGCCGCAGCGCCATCGCGGGTAACGCCAACATTACCCACATCTTTCTCATTATTACTTACTCATTATGTGGAGAAATAGTGCTGACCGTGTGGAACTAGTACAACTACAAGGACTTTCATACTGGGAATCAAGACGTTCTCTTTTGCTGGAAAAAACATATTTGTTTGGTTTTGTTATGCCGTTAGGTGATCAGGAGGGCAGGCTGGATCTGTCTCATCCTGTCCACGTTGACAACTGTCTCCTTGAGCCAGAGACCAATCAGTGCTGGAGGGAACCACCAGCATTCATTCACAGAGACCTCAGGTACGGAAATGATCTTATCAGCAGGGAGAACAGGGCAGCCAAAAACATCAATTGTGTTTGTAATGATGTGTAAAACCACACTACACAATATGGATTGAACATTTAAAGATCACGTCTAAAAGATATATGTTATCTTTCTGTGATTCAACAGGGGAAGTGAAGCTTATTCATATAATACACAGTTTAGCCGAGACCATAATGGTTGCTTTTACTAAATGAGCGGTGTCTCTCACAGTGCCATTCTCTATCTGAACGACGACTTTGACGGAGGAGAGCTGTTCTTCACTAACAGGGATGCTAAAACAATAACAGTAAGTCGCCTTCCAATCTTGATCCCGGGCTCCGTCCAATCTCCCTTTCCTGAAGCTCCTCCCTCTTGCTCCGTGTCACCAGGCTCGAGTGAAGCCCAGCTGCGGTCGCCTGGTGGGCTTCTCCTCGGGTCCGGTAAATCCACATGGTGTTACCGCGGTGACCAGCGGCCGTCGGTGCGCGCTGGCCCTCTGGTTCACAAAGGAAAAGATGTACAGGGACATGGTGAGCGTGACGATGACCTCATCCTCAGGTCGGACCTTTCGCCTGCAGTCACGTGACTGTTAATGTCGGGAGACCGGGTGTTGGATAACAAGACCAGCTGGGGTGTGATGCAAATGTGCTGGTTGTTTTCATGCTTTAGCATTCGCAAAGCCCGGCCTTTGATTTTACCCCATCAGTGTCCTTTAGATTCGTCGTTACATTTGTACAAATCTGGAAATAAGTTACCCAGTAAGCACTCAGCATCGTGCAGACTGTCTAGCTCGTCCTACACTTTTACGTTTACGTTTGAAAAGGAAGAAATAACGGGGCTTCCTTCTTGAAAAAGTCCTAAGCAATAAAACACCCTTATAATGTTCCGTTTTTTAGTTCTTCCCTTGCATCTCCAGTGACTGCTGCACCTCCACAGCTACGTGGACTCACTTTGCTTTGTCTCCTCTCAGGAGCGAGAAGAGGCGGAGCTCATGTGGGCCGCAGATGGAAAGAGTGTGGCAAAAAAGGACGGTGAGGAGCCGGAGGGCGGCGCCCCCCCTGCCAGGAACGCCCGGAGCCAAGCACCGACCGAGAGGAGCAGGGGGAGAGGCAGGGTGACGGGGGGCAAAGATGAACTGTGAGAGCCAGAACACATCTGACGGACTCAACATCCCAAACTGGAACCCATTCCGACCTGCGTCCACCGTCCCATCACAGGACCAGCAACCATGAACACGTGACACATGTTTGTTAGCGACACAGCTACTCCCTTCATCTGCCTTTCAACGTAAAGCTACTTGATTGTTTGTTCTTACTGTATTTATACTGCATATGGTGAAGATAAGGTGGCCAAACATGGTCTTCTCCTGCCTCCAAAGTCAATCTGTAATTTTGTTTCAGCGGCTTACCGACTGATTGCTTTAAAGAGAATAAAAGAAGAATTTAACCAATGTTGTAAGAGCGCTATATACAATATTAACCCAATTGAGGGACTAAAAGTGCATTGGGGACAAAGAGAGAGCAAAAACGTTGCAGTTAATTGATTGAGGGATTACCTCACACCCGCTGCGGCTGCCGCTTGATTAAAAACAAAATTAGAAGCTTGATACTTTTCTTTGTCTGTTCCTGTGTTTTAAGAATGTAATTATTTCATACAACATGCGGTCAGACATCCCAGCAGTAAGAAGCTAAAAGTAGTTACATTAGTACAGTACATCAGAAACTACAGTTCAAAGCAGTAAGCGGGCGAAAAAAGGGAACACAGAGAGATGGAGAGGTGCACAGGGGGGAAGCTAGAAATAGAGAGATTATTGTTAATCCCTCATAAATGAGTGCATTTGTTTATGAAGCTTAAAAAATCCCCCATTTAGAATATGGAATAGTAATCCAGCGAGAGATCATTTAATCATTCATGTCCAGGAGAGTGTCATTTGACCACCCTCTTCCGTCTTATCCCTCCCATTAAAAACACTGCCTCCTTTTCAGCTTTCGTCGAGTGCATTAGCTACCGAGTCGAGGACCGTTTATGGCCCATATTAACACTCTCACTCCCCCCCTGTGTTATAATCCCCCGTCGCTGCAGAATTGGGTCAGCAGGCCGTTTAATGGAGCCCTGGTTTTGCCATTTCCCCCCCTTCACAGGCTGAAACTATGTTGCACCCTAAAAGTGTCCATTAATCTTCTCTTAAGTAGGTGTTATGCCCATGTAATGCATCCTAGATATCCACGCTCTAAGCACCCTGGCCGTCTACTGTTCTAATTAAACACCTGGCAAAAGAGCAGGAAACGCCTAACAGTATTTAAAATCTAAATCACAGCATCCTGTTGTGATACTGATTGATGTGAGTAGTCGACACGAGTTGACAGTTGCACTTCTGCACGTTATCAACTGTCTCCTTGGGGCCCACGTAAAACATTAGGTGTCTATCAATGATGTCTGGCCTTTCTGTGTGAGGCTTTGCATTACAATAGTTGTTTGTGGCTGACCAATATGGCATTTAATCCAGTAACCCCCCCCTTCTTCACCCAGTCTCCCCCCGTTTGTTGTTAAAGGTTTAGTGCTCCTCGCTGGGCTTCAATGACGCAAGAACTAAAGCAACGCTGTTTCTAATGCAGGCTACAAAAACAGTGTCTGCTTGTCATCTGTCGGGCTCGTCAACAAAGAACACAGACTCGGTGTATACATGTGTGTACATACAGCTCATATACATCGACACATCCCTGCAAATAAGACACCTCTTAACATACTCGTATGTAGTTTGTTTTTTCCAGATTGTGATAGTTGATCATATACGTTTCTCGTTCTGGATTTTCAAAAGGTTGAATTGTGAAGGTAAAGTAAGATCCAGACAACCGTGGTCAAAATTATAGTTAACTAGTAACCCAAATTCTCTCTCTGTGTCTTTTGTCTCTGTCCCTGATCAGTATCAACGTGATGGCTAATTAAATAATTATTTCCCCCATTTTGGCGAAGCAACCAGTCTGCTTACGTATTCGCCCTGCTTGAGTAAGCAAAGCCGGATACTTTTCAACTACAGAGCTGCTAATTTGTGCACACTGAGACATAAAATAAACACAGGAGGAACATACCTACACACACACACACACACACGCACACACACACACACACACACACACACACACACGCACACACACACACACACACACACGCACACACACACACACACACACACACACACACACACACACACACACAAAGCCACAGAAGAAGTCCATACTGCATAGGAGTAGCAGTGTCTCAAGGGTATAGTAAATGTTCCTTTACTTTTGCTCCCTTCCTACATGGCCGACAAAGTTCTCAATCAGCTACTACAGCAACAACCCGGGTACCGCCGACAATTCAGTCGCTGTTTCATGTAATTTCAATGTGTTTTCCTTTTTTTATATCTACTAGTGAGAAGAGGACGGCATAAATAACAACAAGCAAAATAAAACATGATACTGATAATTAAAGAAACGGCATGCTGCATTTTCTACATTATTCATGGATAGTTTCACAGCAAACTACTATTTGTTCTAGACACCACGTGTTTACTTTGTAAAGTGAACACGCAAACTTCTCCTGACTGTGGTCACCGTGTACTAACAGAGCGCCGACTACCTGAAAGTGCTATCACACAATAGTGAGCACACGCTGTGCTGTTTCACAATCAACACCGGTGATTTACTGTTGGACATTGTGTGACGGCTGTGGATTGCACACTAACGGGCAAGGGTGATAATGAAAAGAGGAACCTTCGAGTTTTACTGTTTGCTTTTGGACTCACGTCCCACTGGCGCGTAGCTCGAGGTAACAAGGCCTTTCGGCCTGGACAGGGAGCCCAAAGGGTACTGTAGTTCAGTAGCCGCGTCCATGCCTGGTGGGGCTGTTTGCATGCCAAGATGGAGCCAGAAATACCTCTCCCCTGGACCATGCAGTTGGTCCCCGTATGACCTCTGTGCCCTGTAAGATCGCTGCCTCAACAATCTCCCTCTATGTGCACCTTCTAAATTTAGCTTCACCTCAGGTTTACAAAACACAAATCTTCCTGCCAGTCATAGATATTTCAAAGTCTACCCGATCACGATAAAAAGCCATGTTCCCAGCTCCTCTATTTATTTTGTTTCCTCCCTCCCCTCCATGATTTCCATCTCTTAGTTTTTGATTCGGATTCACCCCAGCTTATGTCTCATGACCCCATAACCAAGCTCTGCACCTTGTTTGGTTTCCACCACTGTCTCCTCTCCCTTTCTGTCTCTTTTTACCCCCAATCCACCCCCCACCTACCCTCCTCTGCCTCTCTCTCTCTCTCTTTCTGTCCATCCCAGGGTTTATCCCCTCATCACTGATCTCCCTTCATCCCTCCAATCCTCATCTGTTCCTCATAGGGGCATTGGATAGAGGGAGTGACGGAGGAATATCTCACTGTCTGTGATACCAAAAGTGAATGAGCGGGACAAAGTGTAGCAACAGGCAGGCTGAACTTATGACAACCATCAGAGGGAGACGGCTGGAGGAAGAGTGATTGAATATCTGCCGCATTACCTTGAGTGGAGTCTCCTAATTGGTGAGTGGATGGTCTTATGTTGGTGTTCTGTTGTTTTTTTTGGCCATTTGTGAAGTTGTGTCACGCCGTGTCGCACTGAAAGAACGTTCATCACCGACCGCTTTAAAAAAATGAGGAAGCCTGAATGTTTTTTTTTTATGAAGATATACGCTTAGACTCAACCAATGTAAGTGCGGAGTTAATATCTCACGCAGGGGATGTTACAGCGTAGCAAGTACTACCCATGTAAAATATTTTATCTCGATATCAAATGCGGAGATGCCGTTTAAAATGATGTAACGACACAGATTTGATGCACTTACATGTGGCCTGTCCTGTGTTCATCGTGCACACACAGCAGAGGGATTTGATTTGGGATCAGAATATAATAATGTTTTTCTCGTGTACATTGATAATCTGTCAACAAAAAAAACAATCTTTTGTTGTGTAATTCTTAATACTCAGATATAATCTGCATGATACAACTATGTGAGGCCATTTGTGTGGTTGTCCCATACGGGGTACAACATTGGGAAGTGGTAACATGCAAATTAAAACATGAGGAAAAGGATTGTTGGTGTTGTTTGATTTTATATTGCAGATGTATAGTTTCAAGAAACTAATAATGAAGTGACATGGTATGTTTGGCTAATTAAGTGAATCACATTTTACATTTTACCATAAATCAATCCAGGGTGTGGATTTACAATATTGCCCACAACAGCTGTCGCAGTATAAACAATGTTGTGAAATTCTGCAGAGACACTTTTGTTAGTTTAGGCTGACAAATGTTTTAGGAAGACAGGTATATAAAAGGAGTTACGACAAAACTCGTATGTTCCTTTTAATCCAGGTTGTTGTTTTACGCACTGGGAGACGTGCAACAAGTAACTGGCTAGCAGCTCTGAGTTACATTACATTACATGTCATTTAGCTGACGCTTTTATCCAAAGCAACGTACAATAAGTGCATTCAACCATAGGGTACAAACTCAGGAGGAGTTGAGGTGAAGATGCAAACTGTCACTGATCAGACTCCAGTTTAAAGGTCCAGCCAATACCCCCAAAAAGAGGTTCCCGTTGTTACAACTCTCCCTGCATCCTCCATCTGGCCCCCCTCCTGCATTCTCATCCCGCTATCTGGCCCCACATCCCTTTCTCCATCTCTTATCCAGATGCAAAGAGCAGTCAGTAAGCGGATGAGAGCAGATTTGATTCCCTTTAAAATCTCAGCCAGTAGGATTTAAAACTCACTCTCCTGACTCGCCTCTTACCCTCCACCCCCACCGACCCCCCCCTCCCCCTCCCTCCACCTTCTCTTCTCTCTCCGACTGCGTTAATGCACTTTGCCGTCGAGCAAGCTCCAGCAGTCATTAATTCACATGGAACAATGAAAGGCACCCAGGAACAGAAAGGCGAAAGGGTAATAGCATGTCTAAAACACTCAAGCATTCATTACAGCACTCATTATCGCAGCAATTTACCATCTGGAACAAAGGCCTAAAATCCCCTGTTACCAACTTCATGGACCGTGTAGACATCAGCAGCTCGAGGCTGGACACCCGCAGGTAGTTGCTGAGGTGTTCTGAACCGCACGCTACCACGAACCACGAGGGCCTTAAATCGCCACTGTAATCGTATCTTCCTTTCACTCTACGCGTTACAGATCGATAAAGGATAGAGCAAGCAAACAATTAAAGCAAATCTCTTTCTTTCACAGAGTCACTCCCTCCCTCTCTCCCTTCCTCTCTTTTTCACTTCAAACAAATTAGAAGCAAATCCACTGCGTCATGTGTTTTGACAGGGACACTCATTCAAATAGTCAAAGAGAGAGAGGCACTGCCGCAGGGACGCACGCGATAAGATCAACACAAGTATTCCCTCCTATCAGTTCTCGAGGTAAGATAAAAGGAGATAGCAACGATTAGTTCTTCACAAGAGAGAAAAGTCATTTGCAATAGAAGGAGTGGATGCATTTTGCTGCTTTACTATCAAGTGAGTGTCATTTCTCTTTTGTTAAATCTGTCAAATCTGCTTTGTGACTTTGCCTTTTTCCGCTTGTGCCGTGATTAAATTTGACACATTTAATGGGTTTGTCCATTAGGTGATTGGTTTCCTGCTAAACATTGGTCATTTAATCAGGACATTACCAAATTCAATAGCCATCACCATTAGGTGAGAGCTCACTGTGTTGAATGGCTCAAACCACATGGCTCACTGTGAACTTGTTGAAAAGTGAGGGGTAAAACACGGATGACATTGTTACAGGGCAAACTGGTTTGTGTGTACATTCAGGGTGAGGACGTGTGCTCTCAATCGGTGTCACATCATATTAAGAGCAAATACTCTCACTGTTAATAATGTCTTGCTTGAATATTCATGCAGTCTGTGTGTGTGTGTGTGTGTGTGTGTGTGTGTGTGTGTGTGTGTGTGTGTGTGTGTGTGTGTGTGAGTGTGTGTGTGTGCCTGAATGCACAGGTAGGATTGTTCTGTGGGTTTCTGTGTGTGCTCCTGCGTCTACATGAACGTTTGCAAAGTAGACGAAGGCCAGTTTGACTTGCAAAATAGCACTTACTTGGAGACTGGGGCTAGAGAGGATTCAAATCGTTCAGCCAGGTGCAGGGAGATTTCCAGCGAGAAGTATTTATACAGAAAATGCTAGAAATACTGGAGATGAAGATATGTGCAACTGTTTTCTTAAATAATATCTTGTTAACTAAATGCATTTTTTTCTCTCTTCTTCATTTCAGGATTATCAGCTCTCCTGCCATCTCTCCCTATATCCATTGGTGACAGCGCCTAACAACCATCGCCATGGGTGAAATGGAGCAGTTGCGAAAGGAGGCGGACAGCCTCAAGGACCAGATCACCGTCAGTAGGCCCATCCATATCATTCGTAATGCACAATTGGGCTGCGTACAGTATTAAACATTATCATTATGTGGCTTCCCTTTGCACTTTGGCCTGAAGACATTTCTTCCCCAAATATTTACAACCACATCTTAAATCAATACCGGCAGTAACCTGTATGCCCGCGTTTGTGTCTGCACATCAGGCGGCTCGCAAGGCGGTGCAGGACACCACCCTGCAAGAAGCGGTAGCCGAGATCCCCGCTGTGGGACGCGTCCAATTGAAGACCAGGAAAACACTGAGGGGTCACCTCGCCAAGATCTACGCTATGCACTGGGGCGCTGACTCAACGTAAATACACAGCAAGTTGTACAGCACCTGCTGGTTCATTTGCCAGCCAACCTGTGATTATAGTAAATAAATCATTTGCATGGACTTGGAGGGACGAGAGACAATAAATTGGATTGATTGGATTTGTTCAGTAGTTTTTTTCAGTAGTTTTTTCAACGTTCATAAACTAAATATGCATGTTAAGCCTTTCTCTGTCTCACTCTCTCTCTCTCTCTTTGTCATTGTTACACAACAGGTTGTGTGTCAGTGCCTCACAAGATGGAAAACTCATAGTGTGGGACAGCATTTCAACCAACAAGGTAAGAGAGATGGTGTATCACAACTACTGCGCTGGTAGATGAGGGTAAATGTACACCAAGTGAATCCACTAAATCAACGGTTGAAAACGAGAGTTTACCCGTCTTCTGTCCGCAGGTGAATGCCATTCCCCTCAAGTCCTCGTGGGTGATGACTTGTGCATACGCACCTTCGGGGAACCTGGTGGCTTGTGGCGGCCTGGACAACATGTGCTCCATCTACAACCTCAAGGGCAAGGACGGAAACGTCAAAGTCATGCGGGAGCTGGCGGCACACACAGGTAGCGTAATGCCGTACAAAAGTTCAATCTCTTTAAGTCAGTGATGCTCTTGGGGTTGAACTTGACCGAGTATTTCGTCGGTTGCCCAGGTTACCTGTCCTGCTGTCGTTTCCTCAGTGACACTGAGATCATCACCAGCTCTGGAGACTGCACCTGGTGAGAATGTAGTATAGTTGACTGAACCAAAAAATGATGCTACTTTTATCTCTGTCGTTTAAACACACCTGAATGTCGTCTCCTTCTAGCGTACTATGGGACATTGAGACGGGGACCCAAAAGACAGTCTTTGCCGGACACCAGGGAGACTGCATGTCCCTGGCCGTGTCCCCAGACTTTAAGTTTTTCATCTCAGGGGCGTGTGATTTCACAGCCAAGCTGTGGGACATCAGGGAGGAGCAATGCAGACAGACCTTTGGGGGCCACGAGAGTGACATCAATGCAATTGGGGTGAGGATGAGGAAGATTTCCCCCGCACTTCTTCATCAGAGTTCAATGCAGGCCTGTTTTCCTCATCACTTCTCTTTCTTCCAGTTCTTCCCCAACGGTAACGCGGTGATAACGGGCTCGGATGACGCCACCTGTAAACTGCACGACCTGCGAGCTGACCAGGATCTGCTCACCTACCAGGACTCCAGCATCATGTGCGGGGTCACCTCCCTGGCCCCCTCCCTGTCCGGACGCCTGATACTGGCTGGCTACGACGACTTCAATGTCAACATCTGGGACACGCTGAAATCGGAGAGAGTGGGTGAGTGCAGGTGGAACACGCCGATGTTATGCAGGTTTTGGAGACCAGAATCTCAAGACTCTAATGTTAAACTTCTGACATCTGGTTTGTTGACCCTTTTCTTCTGTGCCGTGGTCAAGGGGTGCTGGCTGGTCATGACAACAGAGTGAGCTGTATCGGGGTGTCCTCAGACGGGATGGCGTGTTGCACGGGATCCTGGGACAGCTTCCTCAAGATATGGAACTGAGGCTGCTTCTCACCAGCGAGCGGAAGGAGAGCAGTAATTATCGACCTGGTAGAAAGTGAACAAGATAGAAACAGGGGTTTGGGTGGGACCTGGGGGGGAGGGGGGGCATAGGGGGAGAAGAGGGTATTTTAATTGTGCCAAGAGCTCCTAGACCATCTAATGTTGGAGGGGGGGTTGTGATCTCACATGACGGTCTCACCTTTCTTCTCACGTTATGTGGGAATCTAGGGGGAGGGGTGGGGGAGACAAGGGGTGGGGCCTCAGTAAAAGATTGTTCCTCTTAACAGTTTATGACATTGAGGTTGAAATAAAACATAACATATGCACATTCATCGCAGCAATTCAGAGATCCTCCTTTGAGGACAATTGCCAAATGGAAATGATGCACGCTGGATGAGACAGAATTAAATGTGTCTAGTTACAGCGTGTGAAGGGTTACACTAGCTATACTAATAAGCTGTGTTTAATATCAAAGCACAAGTTATGTCACATGAATAACATAAGCATTTGCGTTGTTTTTGTTTCAGACTGTTCGTTCTTGTTTTGGTAGATTCCCTAAACGCTTACTTTTACTTATCTTTTTATTTTCTAACTTTAATTAAAATAGAGTGCTAGTTTGCAGATGTTTAAAATAGTGTTGAGTTGTTTTGTATGTGATTGACGGACAATATTTACCAGGATTTGGGGTCTCCCCCGACTTCCCTTGTAGCCAGTGCTTTGGGCAAACTGTTGCACTGAGAGCCGGGGTAATAAAAATAGTTTTCGTAGTTCACTAAACACTTTCAAAAGTTCATTTGTCTCTGGACTAGAGGACTATTTGTATGAGTGTTACATGGATGAGAACAGATATTTTGTGCATACGAGCAAGACATCTGAATCTGTATGTGATCGCTTCTTTTCCCCTGCGTGGTACAAGATAAACCTCAAGGACACTCGTGTACGTACAGAAAATAGAAATCAGAGTTCTAACGGACGCTTTTCCAGCACTGGATACACGCTGTGCAAAGTAAAGCAATACTACCTTTCTCAGAGTGTCCAATAAACATGGGATTCTGCATTACACATGTCGAACTGTTGATTTCTTACAGAACTGGCTTTGTTGATGAAATGTCCATATTTAAATCCTGCTGCATTTGTAGTGTAATACCACATAAACACCAGTTCACTTGGTCAGAAGAATCTTTTGTGCTTGAAGTCCATGAAGGCGTAACTTAAAAATTAAAGTTACTTTACTATCTACAATTTAAATAAATTGTCAATGGGAATCAAATGGATGTTGCATAGAATATTTTAAATATATTTCTAGCCAAATTAAATATTTAGTGTTGAGCCTTTATTCCATTTGAGCAAAAAGAATGATTTAAAATTTTAGAAATGATATAAAAAAAATGTCTTATTAAAAATTGGAAACCAAATAAATAGAATTTATTAGAGAAAAAGAATTAAAGTAGTAGTATCAATGCAAATAATTTTATTTATATTTACAAGGTAAAAACAGGATAGAAAAAAAGGCAGAATAAAAACATATATACACGGGACAAAAACCAAAGAAAGCTGTACACATAAAAGTGTTTTAAACGATATAAAAACAAGGCAAGATTCAGTTCACGTTGCAGTGAATCATCGGTTCTCCTTATCCAAAGACACAGCGAGCACCCTGCGGTCAATCTGTCCCAGTCTCTGCTTATCTGGGTTGGACACCTTCAGCTTTGTCTGGAAAGTGGGGAGGACACGTTAGGTTACCTCAGCAACGGGCATTGTTAGAATTCACTTAAGGGAAAAACGCATTTACAAAACTTCCCTGTAACAAGCAAATACAGGTTGGAATTTACAGGTTTCGGTGTATCGGGAGCGTAGATATTAGCGGTGAGCTTAAAAACAATACCTGAGGACGTTGTTCCCGGGGTGAGTTGGTTCCCTTAAGCATCTGTAGTGGGGAGCGACCTTCCGTACCTGAGAGGTAAAAGGAAACTTCAAGCAACGTCATCGTGTACACATAGACAGGGAGAAGCGTGCCCCCGCCTCCCCCAAAGAAAAAAAGAGACTGTACACACCTTTCTGATTCAGTTTTCCAGACCGCCGCTTGTTCTCGTTGGCAACTTTCTTCACGGCCATGCGGACAGCAAGAGGAGAGGAGCCACCTTTTCCCCTCTGCACTCCTCTAGCTCTTAGCCCGCTGGCGCCAAAACCTTTCCCCAACCACTGCGGCTTGAACACCACCTGACTGGGGCTCTTGGGGTCAAAGGTGGGACAGCGGATGCCGGTGCTGGGCTGCGGCTTCGGCTTCTCGGGGCTGGGGACACTCGCCGGCTCTGGTGCAGGAGGTGAAGCGGATTCCTCGGGAAGCTCTTCGGTTTCTTCGCCCTCCGGCGCCGCTTCCTCAGACCGTGCGGGGGACTCCTGAGCCGGGGAACCATCCGACTCCGCAGGAAGGGACGGCTTGTCGGGGGTCTCCGGCTCGACGGCGAGCGAAGTAAGGGCAAGGGAGTGATCCGCACCATCCCCGACTCGCTCCGCTTCCGCACCAGGCACGGGGGATGAGGTGGCGTCATGGTGCACCTCGGCCAAGGTCTGCGACGAGGTTTCCCCCTCGCGGCAGGTGATCAGACTCATGCTCAGCCGCTTGTGGAGAGGAGACTCTCTCGCTTCCTCAGCCTCCTCCAGGCTGACGTCCACCTCGGTTTCTATTTCCACGTCCAATTGGGGGTTCTCGGAAAGCACAACGGGGCTCGAGTCACCCGCATTTTTGACAGGGGGCTGGACAGGGGTGGCCGGGGGGTTAGCATGCTCAGTTGCGGAGGCCTGCAGGGTGAGGAGGGGCTCGGCGGAAGCCAGCTCCTCGTCCTCCTCCAGGACCACCTCCTCCACGGCGTCACTGAAGCTTTTCTGGGGGGCTTTGGGGAGTTTTCCTTCGCTCTCATTGTGCAAGAACATGCCCAGGCGGCGAGCAAAGGACCCAACTGTCGCTGTAAGGGGCCAAACGCAAGAACAGCAAGTTAAAAGGACATATTGCAGGCAACAAAAGGTAAAGCTGAACCTTTACCAGCTGGTTACCTCGCATGACCTCCCTGACAGGGGTGCGGCTGACGCCAACGGTAGGTGAGCGCGGATCAGCGAATGTCAGGGGACACTCGGTTTTTGCAACACGCCCATCGATCTAGGGAGAATATTTATATTGTTAGACCTGTCAATACGTTCAAACACAAATTACAGTAGGTTTGAAAGCCAGTTATCCAGACAACCCACCTGAATGGGAGTACGGTCAATTACTGTGGAAGGAGAGCGCGGATCGATCAGATCGGTGACCCGTCGGTTTTTGATTGCTGGTTCTGGTTTCGTTGGTGACGCCAGTTTACTCTCACTGGAACCCATCGTTTTATCTGGTTCACGGGAAACTGGGACATAAAATAAACTGTTAAAGTCTACCAGTATAAAACACTGTACACTAGCCTAGAATACTAAGCATATACTTTATACGTAATGTATTTTTTTAAATAAAAAAGGCCAAAAGCACATCGCTGTTGTGTGAAGGCTTACACAAAGCAAAACGGGCCTCCTTTCTGTTAACTAACGTTATGCTCGTGGTGCCTCTAAATGATACACAAATGATGATTAGATGACTTACAAGTTGACATTGCTGGTCTACTTGCACTGCGAAGTTGATGAATTTCAGATCAACAGTTCGGAGAATTTTAAAACAAAAAGTACATTTGCTAACACATTAACCAGCAGCTAACGTTAGCTAAGCTAAAGTCCGTCAGCGTGAGCTTTTCTCATTTATTTAGAGTAATTTATTACGATCATAAGCAGCTGTATTAGTAGGTTAGCGTCTTTGACAGTCACACATTTGTAAGTGTGTAAACTACAGAACAGTTCGGAAAATATTCTCTGGCTTACCTTACACGAGACGAAGATAGTGGATCAGGCGTGTCGCAGGACCTTTTCACGTACTCTGTAAACAGGGAAAACGCAGGAGTATTTAAGATTTAAATGGTGGCTGTTATTTTTGAACAAACCAATCGGCGTCGGCCTTCTCTCCACCTCCCCGACGCTGATTGGCTTAGAGTAGGTTGTTGTATATGTGGGCGTGGTATCTAGGAGCGGAATTTGAAATTTCAAATGAATGCGTGCTTTGTTTTTGTCACGTGACGATGGAAAAGTTACGTTGCAGCTGAGACATGTGGCCATAATCAAACTGCCACGTAAAGAATCAAATTTAAAGTAAAGACTTCAGGGAGAAGCATTATATATCATGCCTAGATTTTTCTACATTATTTGCGGAAATGTAGTCCTGTAATCACTATGAAGGCTGGAGTGTTCATAGAATAGTCATAGCCTTGGCCTTTTACTATATAGTTTAATAAAAATAAAAATACATGCTTATTTTTCTTATAATCATCAAAAATTACTTTGATACTGGTGTTTTACGCCAGACTTCATATATAAACAGACAGTGATATAAAAGGAATTAATGATTCATTATTTTTATTCTTAAACGGTACAGCTTTAATTTGATTTCATTATATTAATATATAATTACATTAAATTAGTTTTATTTCTTCATTCATTCTTTTCAGCCTTTGGTGTCATTTCAGAAAAATGAAATAAAGATTATTGCAATCAAAGCTTTATTGCTGAATATTATATTAAACATTGCAGTCAGGATACAACTAGCCTGAACACAATTATAGTGCAACAATTATGTTACAATACACAATATGGCATATAGCATTATTTTACAACAAAGAAAATAGTTTTACAAGAGCGATATGAAAAAGAGCTTAGAGAAGGGAGGAGCCCAGAGAAATCATTGTCAATGATAGTACAATTATATGACCTTATTATCAGCGAGATACACAATTGAATCCCCCACCCAGTCCGACACGCACACGCGCACACACACACGTTGTCAGTTTACTATCCTGGTTGATAATTACAAAAAAAATTAATTAAATAATGGCTAAAAAAAGAACAGAAAAACAGGCCACTGTTGCACTTCAGATTAGTTTTTGTACTCTGGACCGGCCTAATGCCGGGAGCACTTGGGATAAAAAGCAATACTCTTTTCAATAGTAGCGTAGCTTTAATCTACTAAACCGTAGTGAGTCTACACTTCCAACCTAAACCCTGCTGTAAAGAAAGACAAGCGTAATGATAAACGTCCCACAATGCATCCATCATTATTCTTAATAGAGTACAAATTACTTCATATCTACGACAAAGGTGAACCCAGTTCTCCAGATCAACAGAGTAAGATGAAATATGAGGACTGTCAAATGTGTAAAATACAGTGAAGTGACTGTATTGTTGCTGACTGCGTCTTCCAGGGAGAGGATAATACTGCAATGTTTGATAGAAGTCATTCGACCACAAGATGAAGTCTGGGTTGGTGGGTAATTCACAGTGTCTTCCTCGTCGGTTTCTCTGGAACCGTTACTGCTGGGATTCCTCTCTCCTTCCTTCCTTCAGTCCCCGGGACATTTACCTCCCAGCAAAACACACTCGCACTCAATGAGCCCCCCCCTGGCTGATCCTCATTCCGTCCCACCGCCCACCTCTCTCTGGGAGAAGTGAGCCAGCAACGTGTCCAAGTCCCGACGGTCCGCCGCGGCGTACAGAGGGCTCTCTCCCATCATGCTGAGAGCCATGCGTAAGGTGGACCAGATGTTGTCAGACATCACGGTGGCCGCCGCACCTCCAGGTCCCCTCGCAGCTCTCGCTCCGTCCCCGGCGGCCTGGCGTTGAAGAGATAGAGCTTCTAGGAAGTGCTCTACCGCCTCTCTGATGATAAAGGAGAGGGACAGATCATTTATCATTCATCCATCCTCTCGCTGAGCCAAAGATATCAAGTCAAATTAAAAAGTAGCAGAGTTGATTTGCTGAATTTGAAGCTAACCCAGATAAACAGGGTTAACTGTTAAAAGTACCCGTTTCAAAGCAAAACATGAATCTAATAACCAAAGAATAACCCTCACCTGTGTGCCCCCAAGTTGACACAGCTGATTCCCAAGTTGTAGCGACTGCGAATGAAACCGGGCTGCAGCTCCAGAGCTCTCCTGTAGGCGGCCACGGCCTCCTCTGACCGGCTTCCGTTGGCGAGCGTGGCCCCCAACTTATTCCACAGCAGGTAGTCCTGATGGAGACGGAAGAAGAAGGAAAAAAATTTTAAAAAAGAGCGCACAGAGACAAATGCAGTGTGAAGACGTACTGTAGCGCCTCCACGCCGGCTTCCACATTCAACACTAACCTGCGGTGTGACGGACAGAGCAGCGCTGAAACAGTCCACGGCCTTGTCGTACTCCCCGCTGAGGTTGAAGAGAACTCCCAGACCACACTGCAGCTGGGGGTCCACCTGGGCGGGGTCGGAGTTGGCAGCTTGCAGGAACAGTGACTGAACATCTGTAAACAAAGATCTAGGCAGGAAAACAAAGAGGCAAAGTGTTAAACGGGATTACAATGTGTGAAAAACGCCTTTAGAATTATTGAATCTAAATGTTTAAACCTGCTATCAATGAATCCCACATGTGTAACACTTACTCTGGAAGCAGTGAGCCGAACCGCTCCTTCTCCCTTTCCTTCTCTCTGGCACCTTCCTGCCGGCTTTCACCCTCATTCTGTTCCCACACGGAGCGGTATTTGGGGTTGTGCTTCAGCCAATCACGAAGCGTCTCACAGGCCTGCCTGTGCAGCGATTCGTTAGTGAAACTGACGGCCAGCGACATCAGAGCTGTCAGGTTGTCGTTCTTCAGCTCTATACATCTGAGGAAAGAATAAAAGCAAAAAAGGACGACATGCTTCGAGTTGAGAAAGCAAATGTTCAAAATGGTCAAATGAGGAGGAACTGATAAAGCGATGAATAAGGACACCGCAATCTGAGCAGAAAGATCGCCATACAATCATATTGATAAGGAAACAGGATGGGATCTATATACTCATTTAGATTTATCCCATTTTTATGCAACCATATCAGGTTTGTTGTGGAGGTTTTCCCAAAAAAAAAAAAAGTGAAAAAATAGCTTTATATAGTAGTAGTGTCTTAAAATGTATACTTTATAAACAGTCTACCAAATATGCATATTTAAAAAAATGAAGTGAAATTCTTAAAATAATGAGTATTTTGCAATTCCCACAGCCAACCTGCGGAGGGCGCTGATGGCGGCAAATTCCTGCTCGTTCTCTGCCTGACATGTTCCCAGATATTGCCATGCCTGCAATTTAATGAAAACAAATGCGCACACACACACCACAGCGTTATTGCAACTGCCCTCTGTGGGGAGACATACGTGAGTTTCATAACAAGTAAGGAGGCTTTTTGGATGCTTTTAATGTCTCACCAGCTGGTTCTCTGGTTCTCTCTGTACGGCACTTTCAAAGAAGCGTACAGCACCGGGGATGTCTCCTGCCTCCATCCGCTTCACTCCCTCTGACAAAGGATCAGGGTTGGATAAATAGGGGTTGTCCTCTTCAAATTGATACCCCTGGGAAAAACAAAAGAAAGGCATTGAGAAATGATTTCTGTATGAACTGAACCAATATAAGATCCCGCAGAAGACAATATGTGGAAAGATGTGCACACTGTACGTCGAATCCTTCCCTGCAAGTAGAGCTTTTATGTGTAAAAACCCTCGACTCCTCAACCATGTACACTGTTCAGAGCCAGTTACCGCTACCGCAGAGCGCTACCTTGTCGTAGGACGAGCTGAGTAGTTGATCGAAGTCGGACAGCCAGGGGTGGCTCTCTGCGTCCCTCTTGGCCATCTCCTCCCACTCCTGCTGCAGCTTCTCCCAGAAGTCCACATCGCTCTGACAAAGAGACGGATGCGCGTCGTTACTTCACATTCTCATTTAACCTCTCTGTTACCACGGCTCCCATTTAATATCCAGTACGGCGTTAAGCGGTCACTGATTCTAGTCTCACCTCCACTGCAGCTTTAGCTTGTTGGAAGTCCGGCCCTGATGTGGCAAACTCATCTACCCAGGCTTCAGCAGAGTCCTGCGACACCTGAAGAACAACCAGGAGCAATGACAGCGGTTGACCTGAGAATGCACAGGCTGCCTAAAAAAAGTATTTATTAGAGCGGCTGGTGGGGAGATTACGACAGTAGAGAGGAAGTGAGTGGAAAGAAAATGAACAAAGAAACACAAAAAAAAAAAATCTGATCACTCAACAGTAACAAAACAATAAAATGCTGAGTGAATCCTACCGTTTCTAAGTGGGAAAATACTAATCTTACTGCGTATACTGCAGCTAAAAATAAAAATAAAAACTCTCGACCACAGAGGTCCTACCTGCCTGATGACCTTGGCCCACTGCTCTGCTTGTCTAGCTTTAACTTTCTCAATCTTCTCATTCCTCTCTGGGGCTTCCAGGGGAAGACTCCCTCCCCCCGTCTCCGTCAGGAACTACGGCATTAGGCGAGGAGGGTTGGCGGTGAGGACGATGTTATAAGGAGGAGGCGATTTGTTGGGAGGTTGTTGTTTTTTTACAGGGGCGGGGTGGGCGGAGTAGGAGGAATTTAGGTGGTAGGAGGAGTAGATTGATGGCGGTTGTTAATTGAGAGAATGGCAAGCAGAGAGTTCGAGAGCACGTCAAAAGATGGGAGAAGTACATGACAGAATTACAGGGAAATTAAGTACAAAGGAGATATGATGATTAGATATTCATCAAAAATTGAGAGCTTCACACGCACAGTAGAATATGGACGCCCTTTACAGGATAAGAACAAAAACAAAAATAAATGTAGGAAAGGTAAAAAAATGATTGAAATTGTCTTTTTATAGAAAATAATAATTGACTGTCAGAATTATTTTATGGAAAATGAGTATCAAATAGAAATCATAAGATTATCAGTAAAACACTAGATTTCTGAAAGCAAATTATTTATTAGTATGAAGAATGTTTTGCATTATTTTTTATAGAATTTGTACTCTTTTTAAATTAAAAAAGTGGTTTATTTTATTTTTCTTTTCTTGGAAGGAATACACAACTATTAGTTGTATAAAACTGGGACAATCTAGTAAAAATCCCAAATCTGGGATCAGCCTTTCCCTGCCTGAACTGGATGAAGTAAATACACACAACCTCAGTAAAATTAAGAAGTAAAAACGGGACAAGGGGTTAATTACCAGAGCCTGATTGTAAACGAGGCTTAATGCAGAAGAAGAGAAGCAGATTGTCATAAGAGTCCTCTCACTGCTGAACAAAATCCATCTGCAATGCTTTGCAGCGGGTGGAGCTTGTGGTTACATTAGTGGAAAATGTTTCTCTGCGTCAGATGCTGCGGTGATGAGTCACAAGGCTTCACACAGTCTATACTGTGCAAGGGCAAACCACTGTGCCTCCCCAACGTGTTCCAAGTGGCAACCAACCCCCTCCTCGGTGGGCAGTGACTCGTACCTGGTTTAGGTTGGAGGCCCAGCTCTGAGCCTCCGCGGCCTGAGCTTTATCTTTGAGCTGTTTGTCTGTTCTGCTCTCCACTGTCACACTGCCCTCGCCAATCTGCCTAATGAACCGCAGGAACTACACAACAACGGAAAAAAAAACGAGAACAAAAAATGCATTTTACTATTACCATTCTGTCAGATGTGGACTAAAATACTGCTGGTTCCTTTCCAAACCAATAACGTTCTATGCAAACTAAGGCAATGAGCTTGAAAACAACTAAATGAAACTTAAGTCATCAGCTGTACCGATGCGCTGTTCTCCCGAGGAAGTTCTTTACAAAAAGTGTAAAAGAAAAGGCGAAAGGATATGGTGATAAGAGGAGAAGTGATCCAATGAATGAGTGACACACATGAACACGCTGCTCACCTCAGTGTTTTGTAACTTGGGGTCATCAACTTTTGAGACGAGCTCATTGGCTGTCTGCTTCAGCTCCTCCCCTGGTTGGTACTCCTTTGTCCTATCGCATTAACACGCAAATGTTAAATCATCCGTAACAAGATCTAAGTGTAGAAGGAACAGCTCGCTTTCATTCAGCCTTTGAAGGTAGGAACAACTCAACTCAGGCTGGTGAGTCTTTTTCAACTATGTTGAAGATTAGACATCAGGAACACAAAGTTAAAAGTCTGACAAACTTAAATTCAGTTTAAGTCTCTCTCTCCTTCATTCCCTCCCTGTTCTAACCATTCCTTCTCCTGGTCTCCCAGGTCTCCCAGCCACAACTTCTCCTCCGACTGTTCCAGGTACTCTTCCGCCCAGCGACCAGGATCTGGAGCAGAGAAGTGGAAAAAAAGGAGGAAAAACACAGCGGATAGGCACATTACTAAAAAATAACACGCAATTCAAAAATCTAAGGATTTACTGGAGGAAAGTTTGCTCTGATGTCAATAAAGATTGATGAAATCTGACAGAGTGATGATGATGATGACTCCAGAAACGTGTCTAGTTCACACTGCACTACTTTGGCTCTTATTTTCCGCTGTGCGACAGGTTTACGAGCTGCTGGACAAAATCCCCACATCAGAAGAATCTCTGCGTTGTTTGGCGCTTAGACACATTCCAGATTTTGCATGCTAGATATTTGGACTTGTCGGGGGGTGCAAGACACGGGTTGAGGGAAAGAACAGGCAGAAGGGCGCCTCGCCTGCAGCCCACCACAGAGAAAAAGACTGATCTAATGGGAAATAGTTCAATAGAGAACACGTGCGCCAACAACAACATCATCAACCATGACTACGCTACGCTTGTGTAATTTCTCAGAAGGAAGATCTCATTCAAGTATCCAGAAGAAGGATTGTGTGGAGTTTGAGCCTCTGCAGTTAGTTAGTGTGTGAACAGTTCAATGGTTTGACAACTTCTAAGTTATGCAGTGTGAACTTGGCTTCATTAAGCAAATTGCACATCCAGAGTCAAACAGTGCGGCGCAGGAATAAACTATAACAAACTCAAACTACCTGCAGCCTCAGCAATAAATTCTTTTGTCCAATCGGCATCGGTTGCATCACCAAGCGCGAGGATTCCTGGTGCGGCGGCAGAGTCGGGACCGGAGATAAACTCCTCCGTCCAATCGCCGGAGAGGGCCAACGCTGCCACATCTGGAGCTATGGCATGGAGATATGTGGTGCTTAAAAAAAAAAATAGTTTCTGACAAAAACAACAAAAAAACTGAATAATCAAGTGCACCTCTCTGAGGAGCTTGTCTGTAGCTCTGCTGATCAATCTGCTGCATTTCCTCCAAAAGCTGACCCATGTCAAATGTGTGTGGGGGCCGGGGGGGGGCCTGAAGGAACTCATTCACCAGCTGTGACAAAAATGAAAACCTTGTTTGACTAGATTAGGTAATTGCAGCCAGTGTGCACCGGAGCTACACCCCTGTAAATTGCTTCAGAGAAAAAGAGAATAATGACATATTGTACAGTATCGTAGTCAACACAATATGTAGCGGAACATAAGCGCTGACCTCTTCTTCAGTTGCAATTTCAATGGGAGAGGGAGGAATCTGAGAAAACAGGAAGCAAAAAACGAGGTCAGAGAACATCTGGTGACATGTCTGTTGTCCAACAGCCATTTCATGATCCAACTGAAATGTGGGTTCTTTGTAGGAATCTATTTGGCGGATAGATTTAACTATTCAAAGCATTAATGGTTATGTGCAAATTACTCACTGCAGGTGTTGAGAGGTGCCGCCATGCCCCCCCTTCCTTGGTCATGTGACTGGTCAACTTCATGAGGGGATTGGCTCCCCCACATTCTGCCTCCACCAAATCCCGCATCGCCATGGCAACACAGGGACGAGGCAAACCCAATCAGACTACCTGAGAACTGAGAAGAGAAAGAGCAGTTGGATTACTCAATTTGTGTTTGGACATTCTGCAAAATATTCCACATGTGTTCAGAAAACGGTCTAAAGAATCATCTTTAGACCATTCAGACAAAGTAAATCCCTTTTTGCAGTTTCTACATTTTTAAAGTATTCAACATGTCCACACAGTACAGATGGTAACGTAACCAAAACCAGACTCCATGTGCAGTTTTCCGTGGCGTTTCCTGGCTTAGAATGAACCGTTAATAATGTGGACACGATGGCCCGGCAGGCCCTGCATATTTCCGTCAGCTGGCACGCAATTCAACAAAATGCAATTATCACCATATTGTTACATACAAAATCACAGCCGATTATTATAATAACAAGGCTGGGTATTGGAACAAAGTACATTTTTGGTACCAATACAAGAAATGTATTATTATATAAATGTATTTCTCGTTTTTCTTTTTATTTCTTTTTTAATGTTTAAAAAAAAAAAATCTCTTAAAAGTTTTCTTTTGGGGTGGGGTGGGGGAGGACAGAGGATTTATGAGGTGTACAGATTGTAAAGCCCTTTGAGGGAAATGTGTAAGTTTTTTTTAGTCCTGCTTTTGGTTTAAGTTGTTGTGAACTTGTGTTGCCATTTACACAAATGGCTTGAAATTAAGAATTCTGCACAACTGCCTGTAAGAATTTTCAATTAATATATTGCATAAATTACTCAACATTTTGGAATCTGTATGCCCATTCATAAGATAACCACAACTGAGCCAATCAAAATGATATCGATATATACGTCTGTCCCCATGATCACTCACCTGATCCTGTAAAAGCAAAAGTATAACGAAATTCTTTATGACAAGACGTCAGTCCCAGTATTCCAGCCCTGATCAGAATAAGTATCGAGGATAGAGGACACGACGCTGCTGACCTACATCCAGGATGAAGAGACGACAAACTGTTGTACAAGCTGGCCTGCTCAACTTCTATATCCCCACAGGAGGAACACATTATGGTGACACTTTACATACTTAACTGTCAGGAACATAAATGGAATTCCACATCTTCTCCCTTTTCAAATGTTGAGCTACCAACAGAAATTACATTACAAAATCCACTCTGCGGGTGAAACACTACTTATCACTGACACATCTTAGGCGAACAGATTTAGGAGCAATGTATTCCTACTTATTCAAAGAGATGTACTTTATGGTGATTAGGGATTAAGAGGTTTATACAGATATTAATACGCTCACTGTGACAGAGAGGACACCGTGACACATAATAAGCCTGCTACTGGGTGCATTAACCCTACATGTTTTGTCCCTGCACAGTCCCCTATATCCCACTTTTTTTGTGAAATACTAAATTATGTTAAAGAAAAATATTCCACCGCGGACTTCCACCACCAATGCAAGAAACTGATTTATTTTGATTGTCAAACTGCTGTCATGTGTCAAACCAGTGTACTGATATGGAGCAGCGTGATCCCATTGTTTTTGCCCGATGCTAACAGGGGCTTCAGTCAGAAACAGCATTCGCTTCGTAAATATTCCTCACATTGTCTCTTATAATACAGCACACGTGCTGCTCATTAAATGGCGAATCCAACAGACGTTCTTCTTCTTTTTTAGAGCACTAACGGTCCGTGTGGTCTTTCAGCAGTAGCGAGTGTAGCTAGCGTTAGCTAACGTAAGCTAGCCGCGGCGCTGAGATCGTCTCCCGTCCAATGCGGGCAGAGAGGCGTAAATAGACGGGTAGCATGGTGTTCATCTCACCGCCGATCTGCTGCTGGAGCCCAACCGACTTGTCCCTTCTCTCCGGTCCTCTCCGGCCCGTCCTCCTCAACCGTAGCAGGTAAAAAAAAAAAGTTGCCGCAGAGTGAAAGCAACCGCAGCGTGTTGTTCAGCGCTTGGCTTTTATTTACCTTCCTCGTCCATGACCCACGAAACCCTTCAACGATCGCTAGCATTGCGTCGTAGCGTCACGACGGGCTTCGTATTCTCAAACCGTCTTTACGCAAGGAGACGGCCCGGCTTGAACGTAACTTGACTACGTGTGTTTTACGTATATTACGCAGGAGAGTCCACGTTTGTAAACACTTATTTGTGCAGTAAAATCTAGATTTTTATTTTTATGTTCTGTACGTTGTGTATCATAGCAACTTGTGAAAGGCTTGTATGCAACAGTTGACATAAATTAAAGCCCAACAACACACGGGCCGTGGCCTCTGAGAGGAACTTAGAGTTCCTTAGAGTAAGTTATTTTTGTACATTCTGTATAAGAACTGAGCTGTCGGATAAATGTTGCAGAGTAAAATGACATTTTTTGATAAGTAGATAGTACAAAGTACAAAAAAAACGTAGTCAAAAACGATTCTTAAAAGTTTGTGTAATCGTTAGTTGTATTAGACTAGCAGAAACAGTAAAATAGTTCTAAGCTCAACCATAATAACATAAATATAGTGAGATGCATGTAATGGTAAAGTATGATAACATTTGTGTTGAAGTAAATCTGTGTCTCAAGTGTCTGTACTTGACCCTGACGTGCAAAGAGCAGCATGATACAAAATGTTAGTTTGCAGCTGTGTCCTGAGAGCGGTCAGTACAATACAAAGGTATTCTGTTCATGGCCTTGGATCATATCTTATTTGGTACGAAAGTTCTCGGATCCACGTTTCTACTTTATGTCAATTAATTATAATTTGCACCGGCCACTGAGGATGATCTTGCTGTGTGTGTGTGCTACCCTCATCTTCACCTGGGTTCTTATCTCAACTTGAATTGCAGCTTCTTGTAACTGGCACTGAGCATGTCCTTCACATGTGTATAAAGACGCGTTTTTACTGCTCGGAGACGCCATTTACACCGAACGCTGAAATATGTGCTTGTATATTCGACCTCCTGCATGCAAGCAATAGTTAGAGCCAGATATATCTGCGGAGAATTGCTCATGTAATCTTTTTCTCTTCTAAATAAATGTTAACCTTTTGACTTTTTGAATTAATCAACGTGTTGCGATCCTTCTCATCAACCAACTTGGGGGGATCGGAGATCCCGACAATATCAATATATTGAATATTTTAAAAGTATGTGCCTTTTCCAGGGTTTCTTCATAAGAACTTGAATTTAAAAATACCGTTTTATAAAATAACTAACTACTGTAATAAAAAAAAACTCTCCCGTGGAGACGGTCATATAGTGTTTTTATTATGAATTTTGCAATGTTTTCTGACAGTTCTCAATAACAATTAGTCAGCATTATCCATGTCATCATTGTATCAATAATTATAGGTAATGTTCCTATAGTAACAGTAATAATATAAGTTATTAATCAATGCAATGTGTATTCCTTCTTAACATCACACTCAGAAACGACAGGCTTTATTTACTGACAGGTTTAGCACTGCACATTGATAGGCTACACAGACAGACACCAAGAGACACAGAGGAAGAGTGAGGGAGAGGTGAGGGAGAAAGACGGGGAGGGAGAGGGCAGGTGAGGAAAAGCACACAGTTGTACATTCATTAACCCAAATATACCGGATGGACGGAAATAGAAAAGCAATTAAAGGTTCAGTTTTGAAATGTATTACAGATTAAATGAGTGAGACGTATCTAAGTATCACAACAATGTGCCTTCCTTTTTCAGTGATTCAGATATTGACGAGTCCTTAAATTACAACAATATTACACACAAATTAAAAGACACTCAAGCCAAAGATTATCATCCGTATCACTACTACTATTATTATTAGTATCATTATCATACTGTTATGTGATGCTGTAAAGGTGATACTTCAAATGGAAAAGGTAAATCATAATCTGCTCCCTCTCAAAATGTGCAGAAGAAGAGTGGCTGCAAGAATTACAGTAATAACGACAATATAATATTCATCATTGTATGTACAGAAAATTCATTACAATCAATACAATCAAAACTGCCCAAGCTGAGCTGACATTCTGGAAACAGCAGGGGTAGCACTATGGAGTGTGTATGTGTGTGTGTGTGTGTCTTTGTGTGTGATTGCATGTGACGTCTTGCAGTTATTGTAAGAGCAGTGTGCAGTGAGTGAACCAGTGCAGTGAGAGTCATTGAGAGACATTCCAGTGGTCACTGTGGGGGGGTCGGGGTTTTGACCGGGTTTACTGTAGAGCGTATTGCCTAAGTACCAACTTAGCGTAAATAGAGAGGTGAATGGTTGATGCTCCTCAAAACATTATTTTATCGTCAGCCTCACATTAAAATTGCTGCAGCACTAAAAATAGTCACAATACCAAAAAAAAAATAAATACCTGCAAGCGTAACAGGTTTTTTTTTTAAGCTTTCAGAGTGACCTCACTGTCTTCACTCCGTGGTTAACGACGGGCGAGGAATGTGTTGAGAGACGATGCAAAGACGAAGAAAACAGCTTGTGCGAGACTTCTCGAGCCGAGTCTAATAAGCGACGTGTCGGATCAAGGATCGTGTCTACTCATCAATTCAAGGCCTGCGTGTTGCAGATTGCTCCCGTATTCATTTTGTGAAGATTTCATTCTGGGTTCAATAACAAAAGATAAGAGTACAATCGTTTTCTTTTAAAAACAAAGCCAGTGTCATTCAATCAATATTACACTATACAGACACAAAACCACCTTGTGATTGAGAACTGGTGCACCACATACAATTTTGGTGGGGTTTGCTCAGGCGGTTAAATTACATTAAATGTATACATTGTGCCATTGAACATTTAGGTGGAGAACAACTGCCCGTTGTCGGCTATAGGTCACATATGGCGTTGAGTGTCAAGTGTTATTACAGTGACTGTGTTGTGTCTAGTGTTTGTAAGCATACATTCCTTATACTAGTAGTGTCAGCGGTTGTTGATATTAAAAGTGGTGGAGTGTGTGAGCCGGTTGGTGGTTTCCATGAGAACTGGTGCGGAGATTTGTGTGGCTCAGTAGCGGCGGGCGTTGCCGTCCCTCCCCTCCTTTTTTATAATGATTCGCTGGTCATCGCTAGCGTCTTCAGGTGACTCTGCTACCTCCTCTTCCTCCTCCTCCTCCTCCTCCCCCTCCCCCTCTGTGTCAGCAGAGATCCCCATACGGGACTCATAGGACTGGGAGAGAGAGAGAGAGAGAGAGAGAGAGCAATTAGTGGATGAAAACAGGAGCTCGACGGGTGCCGTCATTTCTCACCATGGCATCAATAACTCATCTGTTTGTTTGTTTTTTACCTCCATGGGGTTGACAATGATGGTGAGGGCAGAGTCGTCCCATTGGCTGGTACCCTCCTTGGCCTCGCCGCCGGCACCCTCAATGCGGCGATGGATGGAGCGAATTCGGAAAACGCCGAGGATCACCATGACAACCAGGAAACCCACACACACCATTATGATGACTGTGGCTGCTCCTGGCACTACTGTAACACAACAAGTGATGATTATGAGTGACCCAATAATCTACATCTAAACTGTAAATCAAGTGTTCTATACGTCGTCTTATTGTTGACAAATTGTTCAAATACCACAACCAGTACTACTTGTTTGTGTCCTTTTAAAGGACTTTTCAGCTGTTGGGAAATTCCACCTAGTTTCCTTTTACTTTCGTCAATGACTGATTTCATCAAAAGTTGATGAAACATTAAAAGTTTGTAACCGAATGGCCAACTTCTCATGATTTAAAGGTTTGGGTCAAATAAAACTTCGCGCCTCTTCCAGTTGTGTTAAACTTGGGGGTAATGGCTCTGGAGACGGAGGGATGTTTTTCTACGAGGCGTTTTCCTGTGAAGCCGGGTGTCTTAATGAGGGGATCTATGGGGATTGACTCGCTTTGGGAGCGGCCTCACAGAGCAATTAGACGCGTGTGCTTCATCTCAGAGGTTGCTGCGTGTTGTGCGTCAGACTTCTTCCATTAAGTTTATGTTCACCTTTACTTTTACAGTGAGTATAGAGAGGCATGCGGATAGAATGAAAACCACGGGGAAGGTCAACATCGGTTCTTGACAGGAAAGGGGCATGTCACCTGAGTTGCGGTGTGGATTGGGCAGGGTGTGTCCACTCAGCTCTCCAGCGTGGTGGGAAGGGTGGAGAAACTGCTGCTGGGAGGCCAACAAATGGGATGGTTGGTACAAACTGTCCAGAGAGTGGAGGAAGTTCACCTGAGTGAAGGAGGCGAGAGAAACAGAGGAGAAAAACATGAAACAAAAACAATCCAAGTCTCGACTGAGCGCTAGTGCTCCTATCCACTGTAGGCCAGCGATTCTTTTCACCTCCAGAGTCAACTCGTTGCTGGTGTATCTGCCATTCATCTCAGAGCAGGACAGGCGGAACCGCCTCTCGAAGCGGGCTGAGCCTTTGGCCAGGCGGTAGTGGACTGAGCGGAGGACGTCCTCGTACACAGAGATGGATTCGGCACCTGGAGGGAGCGCGGCACAAAAGGAAAGTTAGCAGTATGAGAACTGCAAACAAAAAGGAGAAGAGACATGACGACAAATAAGTGTATATATAGCTTTAAAATGCACCTGTGATAGCAATGTAAGCAGTAGTATTGATGATTTCCAGTCCCCTCTCTCGCACGACATCCATGTCCACCAGAAGCTCCTCCCTTTCTGGGTTTAGCTCCTCCCCCAGTGGTTGGACCTCACAGCCGTCCAAAGTGTGAGCCACAGCGTCGGACATCAGGGCTAAGAGACGATAATTTAGGAGACAAAAGGTGTAAATTTCAAATGGTCACTTCAACTTATTTCCAAGTGGTGAGAATGGGTTATGATTCATATCCCAAATCTATCTAAGCTAGAAAGGGTATTTCAGTTGTTTAATACGTGACTCACCACCTCCCTCCATCACTTGTGCAGCCGTGTTGACGGCATGAGTCAGGGAACAGACAATCCGGAGCTCGGGGAAAAGGGGGACACCACGGGGACCCTCAAACTCTGGGGCAGGACGGGCCAGATGAGGGCCGACCCCAGACAGGGAGATCTGAGGGGCGTCCGGCTGGAGAACCACCAGGTATCCTTCCAGCTGCTTGAGGGACAGGCAGCTCTCCTCGTTGAAACATCTGGCGGCGACGACGGCAGCGCGCGATGCCGGTCAAGGAGACAAAGAGAGAGACAAAAAGATAAGACACTTTCCACATTTTTGGTTACCACCACTTTGGTCCAGACTGAAATACATCTGCAACTATTTGACAGTTTGCCATGAAAGTCAGTCATGGTGCCCAGATGACAAGTCCCTCTGACTTAAGGGATCCCTGAATATTACTCTCACACCACCAGACCAAACCATGCCCAGGATGGACAAACAGATCTTAATCCAGAGCAATGTCTTAATAATTATACCACTGCCGTAGGAATCTTTAGCCTGAAAATGTTAAACCATAGTTAAATTAAAATTTCCTGCCAGAATGGCAGAGCAAATCAGGCCGATGACCGGCTGCTGACATCGATTTATTTATCTGCACTATAGTTCAGCAGGCCATTTGAAAGGGGATTAAGCATGGTGTGTGTGTGTGTGTGTGTGTGTGTTACAGTTCCACTATCAGAGTAAGCAGCTGCTTCCATCGGCCTCTCCAGAAGGGCCTGCTGTTCAGCCATCTGGGCAACTCCTGGCCTCAAATCAGTCTAATCTTAACACACGCAATAAAACACTAGAGGGAGGAAGAAAAAAAAATAACCTCTGGGACACACCAAGTGAAAAAAAAGAATCTGCCTGTGACCTTGAATCTAAACCCCCCCCCACAGAAACTCCAGGACCATCTCATGGTCCGGTAATCATTTTAATCTTATAAACACGCAACAAAAACAACCGTCACAAAAGTCAGTGATGAGATAATCTGCACTGCCTGAGAGTTTGACAAGATCTGATTTGTCGGTTTTAAATACACAATGTACCAAACGGTCTGCGCGTAGACTGTACTTCCTGAGGTGAATTAATAATTCATCAGCTAAAAGTGACTGTTAAAACCGGAGAGCCAGTTCGCAGTTGTTAAGCATGGTTGAGCACTGACCCCGAAACAGAGTGCGTGTGCTTTTTATTCTCACGGCCAGGTGATTCAGAGTGCTGCACTGAGCATCAGGGACATTATTTTTGCAATACGTTTCCAGTTACATACATGTCAAATTATTTAACACAAAGCAAAACATAGAAATACAATCGAGTTGAATTAAATTTAAAAAAATGAAATGAATTTCTTAAATGTAATCGATCAACAACTGCAGTAAAAAACAGACAGAATTAATTTAGTTTTCTCTGTCAGAGCAAAAAGCAACTTGATGGCTGAATGAACAAAGAGATAAGATATTCCTCGTTATCTCCCGCTTTCACGTATTCTCCTCTCTAATCATCCTGCCACCACAGCCTTATCACGGCCGAGGCAAGGTCCATGTTTGAAGAGTCCAATGTCAAAAGAATAAAGCAACGGCCCAGAGTCCAGAGAGAGAGAGACGCTTCAATTGAGAAGTCATCTCATTTCAAGTCGTATCATTTGTGGTGTTCAGATTTCTGGAGTGATAAATTACAATAATGATGTCCCTCTCTCCCTCGGCCCGTCTCCCCGTCTTCACTGAATGACCTTCAATCAAACGTCGTATGACTACCGCTAGTTACCAGAGCGCGTGCGTGTGTTTACGTACCTGAGCGAGGTGGTTAGTTTGAGGGGCCGGACTCCGGGGGTGGCGAAGCGTAAAGAGTTGCGGTAGGTGACCTGCTGCACTGCACGGTTAAAGCTCTCGATGTCGTCTCCCTCCAGCACCAACACTGACTGGCTGGGGTTCACATGCACCTGCGTAGACAAAAGAAAAATTAAAGTTCCCATAAATTCACATGTTACGTGGCTCGAGACCAAACTGATATGTTTAACGCGGGAAAACAGGGTTAATCTCCTTTATTGTCCAATAAATTAGGCTCTTTTATACGGATTCTACACCAAGAGACATAATATTAGCTGAAGTATTGATCTGCTTTATATGTTGTTATGTTAAATGTTTATATTTTTACTGCAAGTGCTTCAAACACACCAAACCGCCACTAGAGGAGGTTAAAAACACATTTGGCAGCATTCCAAAATGAAACCACATCAAAGATAAATTACATTTGGACTTGCCCCCCTGGCAAAGCTGTTAATACATCATACGTGCATGAAATACTTGGACTATGAACCCAAAAATGAATTATTAAATTAATCTGTGAATGTATCTGCTACTTACAGATATGGAACAAGTAATGAAATAACACCTTATTTGAGGACACATATATTAGCTAGATGAGAATATACATTATAGCTACATTGGTTGGCTTAAAGTGCAATAGATTTAATCATATAGTGTTTTGACTCATATTAGGTTAAAGGAGTAAAGCAGTAGTTGCTTTTTATCTTATTTTATCTTATCTTATCTTTTATCTACAAATTGGGATTTTTACAACTATGACTTATTCTGCATTTTTGAAAAGTTAGTCATAAAATTGTATGTTTTGTATTCTAATTCATATTTATTTTGCAATGAGCTTTCTCGGAGAAGAAAGCTCATTTCACTAATGGTGATGACGGATGTGAAGGAGCTTTAGTGTCCCTCCTCTGTTTTTTTCTACAAGGCGGCGGCCTCCGGCTCTCTGTGGCGTCACCTTCATGCCGGAGCCCAGAGTCTCCAGGTCTCCGAAGTCCAAGCCTTCCCTGCAGGCGTACAGACACTCCACCACACTGTGAGGCTCCACGCTGCCGGGACGCACCGTCACCCCCGACAGCAGGCCGTGGTAACCTCCCACATATTTCACTAAAGAAAACCCAGAGACAGTCTAGTGTGATTACAGAGGCCTCACTCATATTCTAATATGCACTTAAATTGTACATCAACACTGACGGAGCAAACGGACAGACTGCACATCCTCCCGCTGCAACTCCAACAACATGGAGACGGGGAGGTTACCTGCGTCTTTGCCCTCCGGGATGGTGTTGTTTAGGATTTCCTTCTGCTTCTCTTCGGGCTCTGCTGAGGAAAACGGAGACGGGAACAAAGGGGAACAGAAAAGGAGAATCATTAGGCCCACTGAGAAGGATACTATAAAGAAAGAGAAAGGAAGACTCATGTTGGTCAATATCAAGAAAGAAAATAAGAAATAAATAACATAGGTAGGCAAAAATGAGAACATGCAAGCATATAATTGTAGACATTCTATGCAGCAGCAACTTCCTCTACGGATGAGAGTTTTACACTGTCAATGTGTGTGCGTGCATGTGATTTTAATGCTAAGTGACAGCCACAGTTTCCCATTTTAACCAGCAATTCTAGTCTAAGTGGCTGATAGCTGTCTGGCTCTTGTGTTGTTCTGTTATTCTGAATAATTGATAAGTCAGTTATATTATTAGCCCTCAAAGACCAAATGCATCAACCAAATTATGACTATGAGGCAAACAAGGGATTGAACGACGCGAGGGACAATGTCTCTGCAGACTTTCTGAAGGTGCCTCTGTGCCGCCATTACACACGTCAAACACGTCAGCCTGCTATCTTTGGCAACGTGGTGTGATTTTTAAGGACATTTTATGGACAAAACAGGAAGCGAACTGCATTATTGCTCCTCACAGCCTTCATGCAGAAGGATAAAAAAAGTTCTCTGCTTGCATTGATTTCTGTCAGAATCCGTCATTAAGCTAAAATTAAATACTTGTGAGTTGTGGATACACCGAGTGTAAATTCCCATGCGTTACCCCAGGAGGCTCCAATGAACATCCTCTGGCGGGGGGCAGGGTTGGGGATGGCTCCGTTGTCGTGGATGAGAGCAGGGTCAAAGGTCACGCCGTCGACATACAACGTCACGGAGGGGAACTGGACGCTGAGTGAAAGGTGATGCCACTCGCTGTCACACACCTGTTGAGAGGTAAAACAGAGTCATCCTGAGGCTGAAGAAAGGACAGAGTTAAAATATCTGTGGACGTTTGCTCTTCTAATAAATCTGAGGTGTTGTGAGATGATTAATGGGGTCAGAGAGGAGATATAACAACGCGTCGTTACATGAATTAGCTCTAGATTTTCTTACTTATCTTATTCTTGCTTATCTAACTTATTTTATTGAATAATGATGAATAAACGCATCAGCTGGAATACAAAGGGAATCGTACAGACAGAAGGGCAGAAAAGAATGAGCCGGGTAATAAGATAGCGTGGGTCAGACAAGGGATTTGACAAATCTTCTCTATATCAGCTCAGCCTTCTTTAATCCACGCTGCTTCAATCTGTCTGGGACCAGGAGCTCCAGTCAAAACAAAATCACTTCACACTACAATGTGCTGCCCGAACCGCATAGAATGTTTTTCCCATTATATTTGCTAGGGTCTCCTTTTTGAAAACTTGAAAATGCACAGAAGTACTAAGCTATCTGGTAGCTGCGTTTTATGAAATTGCTACCTGAGCCAGATGTCTGACCTTGCACAGACGGTCTATAGAATGCATTTCATTTTAATTTAAAAAGGTACAAATACAGAAGAACATCAAAGCTAAAGTGTTGCAGCTCCCTAATTACCTGCTCCAGTTTCCACAAGAACTTGACTGGCCGTGCAGCCGAGACGTCGGGCCAGTAGAAGAGAGAGAGGCGGCAGCCGTGGACGGAGAGGGAATAGTGGGAGAAGGAATCATCTGTACAGCAGAGGAGATAACTGGTGGTTAAGTGTGTCAAACGGTCTTAATCTCAGCAGGTGTTTCTTCAGACGTTAAATATGCAACGTGGTTTTATTGCCGCTTTCCCCCAGAGGGACGGTTTGGGCCAACACGCGGCTTTCTAGCGATGTCCCTACGCCCCAAAGTCCCTAAGTCATGAAGTTACAAATGTTCACACAATATTCCGCCAGGCTCAATCCAGGGTTTTTCTGTTCTCCTGGTTCTGTGCACTTGGGGTTAAGTGTCTCTCTCAAGAGCACCTTGAAACTAGTTCTTAAAGCTATAAACTGCTTTTTTTTTGTCCAGCAGTGACTTTCTTTTTGATTCTGGGCAATTGAGTGGGTGAGAAAAAGCACACGTGTCTGTGACATGACGCACCATTCTTGACAGTGCTGCACACAATAGTCTCCTCCTCCTTGCGACTGCCTCTGCTCTGAGTGGTGGCGGGCTGGATGTTGGCGCCGCCCCTTCGCATCCACAGCTGCAGGGTGAAGTGGTCGCCCGACAACGCAGAGACAACCGAGTCCGGCACCACGGCGACGTGGTTCGACCCGTTGAAGGAGAAGACCAGAGAGGAGTCGGAGGAGGGGAGAGTGGGCAGAGCGGAGGTCCAGTTGGCAGCAGGAGATGGAGGAGGGAGAAGATCTACTTCACCCCTAACAGCCCCTGATGACGAAAAAAGAGCGTAAACAGTTAATAGAAAGAGGAACCGGGCCGCTGCACATTCACGTAATCACACCGGAACTCACCACACAGGCGTCGCACGGATCTGTCGGAGTAGCTGTCTCTGTCACAGCCCTTCCCGATGTGGCCGGTCTGAAGCTCTACGGTGGCCTGGATGTTCCACACAGTCTCCTCACAGGTCTCCAAATGCAGGCTGGGGAACAAGGGGATGCTGCCGGACCCGGGTGTGTACTCCACACGCTTTGTCCACCCTGAAAAAAATAGTGCAATCTCAATCTGACCCTTTAGATTCAAAAAGTTGTTTTTAAATTCAGTCAATAGATTCTTATCTAATCCAATGTGAGGCGATGCACAGAATCAATGTATGGATCTAATGTAATCTACAACATTCTCATGTTGTAATTCACCGCCTTTCACTCAGGCCTATCTCTTTAAAACTCAGCTCTCAATATAAAGATACTAAAGGTGACTCATCGTAACGGCCGCCCACGCATATCTAAAAGTGATATTTTCCACAGATCAAACGTCTAAAACACATCTCTTCAACCTCTCGAGAGTTGTCTAAGCATGACAGCCAAAACAGAGACAGAGAGTCAGATTACCGATCCAACCGGGTTTGCAGGACGGCTTGACGGTGATGACAACCTGGGCATCAGCTTGTGCTCGGTTCTTTCCACAGTCAAAGGCGGTCACCCAGAATGTAAAAACGCGTTGACGCTTTGAGTCCAACGGCTCGGTGTTCTTGATGTTACCTAGGAGACGCAGAGAGAGAGAGACAAAGAAGGAAAGGACGAGGAATTATGAAACAAGAATAAACATGGCCGGAGGGGAGAAACACTGGGAGGATTCTGGTTGGGACAGAGAGAAGACAAAGTGAAAAGAAAACAGACAATGACAAGCCCAGAGTGTGTGAGGGAGGAACAAAAAGGTCTCTGTACTGGTTTTACCCCCCCCAAAAAAAAGAAAGGAGGTGCCAGTCCAGGACAATTCTGCAGAGTCATAATAACAAAGGGTCCTCTGCTGCTGCTGCGTCTCCCACCGATCATTCAATGGAAACCATTGCAACAGAGAATTTAGGGAATCGACGAGCAGCCACCGAGTACAAAGGGATAGTATATTAAACCGAAACAGCTGCAATATTTTTACAGAGACAGAACAACACTACGCCCACACAGAGGTCTATTTTAACATTGCGTGGTTTCTACCTGCACGAGGAGTTAAGTGCGTGCAATTCGTTTTGCTCTGTCAATACGTAGACATCAATACCCCAGCAGCATCTGGTGTAGGTCCTTTTCATGTGTTGAGGGCATCCGCCGCTTAGAAATTGGACACTTAACATTGAACGTATTGATTCTACCGACGACGGGACGAGAGCAGAAAGCCCGTGAAGATAATAATATAGTGGCTGGTGTTGTATTTCTGTAGCAGAGGCAGGCCAATATTAAAAGGCCTGAGAGTCCCACACCCGCTGATTTATTGCTCTGAGCTATAAAACATATCTCACCGTCGTTGTCGATAGCAAAGGGCACATTAGGGGTGATGATGTCATAGAAGCAGATCTGGCTGTACTGCGGGGAGCAGTCGGCATCCAGAGCCTCCACGCGCACGATCCGGTCAAACAGACGTCCTTCTGGGACTGAAGCCTCGTAGCGACGCTCAACAAACACGGGGGAGAACTCATTGACGTCGTTAACACGAACATGCACGGTGGCCCTGAGGGAGGGGGGAGCAAAACAAAAGGAGAGAGAGAGAGACAAAAAGCTGTAAGAACAGGAATCTGAAATGGCTGCACGGTCTTTACGGCACTGAGCCAGAGGGAATTTAGATACAGACTTTATTTATTGTTAAAAAAACAAAATCCAATGTCTTCTGTTTGGAGGGGAATTACTAACTTGTGGGATTTCTTGCTGTTGACTCCATCGGGCCCCTCTCCGCAGTCGTAGGCCTGGATGGTGAAGCTGTGCTCGCGCTGGTTCTCGCAGTCCAGCGGCTCCTTGGACCGGACCAGGCCCTCGCCGGTGGAGCGGTCCAGAACCACAGCTTCAAACTGGACCGAGCCGGAACCCGAGGGGCCGTTATGAACCCGGAAGCCACAGATTTCCCCTGGAAGAGGAAGGAAATAACTCACGACGAAAACTAATGCATTTGTATTTGAATGATTAAATGTCAGTAAATATCCAGTATATTAACATAATGCGAAATCATTTCCTTGTCTGACAAACATTAGGTTGTTTAACAAATTATATAGAATGCTGTAGTCTATATTTAACAAGTACAACATTCTATTCTTATATTTACCCTCTTTGCATCGGCTTACAGTTGAATTTAGGATTTAGATGTTACTCATTGCTCAAGCATTTCAGGTCTGGCTCGGCTTAACATTGTGTGGCAGCAAAAACAACTAATACTGTTAGCCTCGAGAAAGGAAATAAAATGCGGCGATGTAGAAATACTCATTATTGGATCTTGTTATTTAGTAGATTTTTGTCACCATAATAACAGGATGAGGGGGACACAAAATAAAACCCACTCTATAGCGGCTGATGTTCCCTGGCTAACAGAAATTGAAGGTTTGGAAGGTCTACGTCTGAAACAACTAATTTTCTCTTCCTTTTTGACACGAGCTCAATGAATTTCAGAGAAAATTCTATTCTATAATTGTGGACTCTGTGACTGAGTGCATTGCCTTTCATATTTAGACTGGTCTATTGGGAATGGGAGCCCTCTAAGAGCTCCAAAACATCTTTAAGAATAGCAACGCAGTGTTTACAATCCAATCCCAAGCCGGGCCTGGTGGGATCATTCATAATTTGGCCTGGCCGTGTGATATTCCCTTTGTCTATATGAGTACTTCGCATGACCTATTTTTCACAATAGACAGATTTATGGAAACATCTAAACGTAGATGTGTTTTTTTTTGCCAGCTCTGCTATCCTATCTTCTCCCGGGCCGTTTGGTGCGGTTGCCGTTACCCGCGTAGTGAAGCGGAGCATCTTTGTCCAGGGCAAAGAGGGGGGGGTTGAGCAGCACCGTGTTGTCGTTCTCCATGACAATCCCCTGGTACTCTGTCTCGATCCATGGCTTGTGCTTATTGGCTGGACGGCACAGAGAAGAGACCAAAGAGGCTTTGGGTTAAATGGAGCAATTACATGGAACCAACGGTTCTATTTTTAACACTCCATTATGGGCAAGGACATGGTGAGCATGAGTGGAAAACTACACAATGCATGTCTGATGTGTGACCACAAGGACACATTTTAATCACATTCACACCCGCCCTGATTTCCCCTTATAGACGGTTTGCCTCTCGTGTCACGCGGCGCTCTACACACCTCCCTGGTTGGCAGTGTAATTAAAGCCGGTCAGATTTGACCTCATCACACACAGAGAGGTGTATTGCTCATATCAGTCAGCCAAACTGTCTTGCCAAAGGCACCGCACAATAACACTGGGGGGGGCAGGCGTGTCCAAAGCAAATGCCCAAGGTTTACTGTGAATTTAACCTTTTATTGCAAATTAATTATTCATCCTTGTGGTGATATTCAGAGCGATCAAATGGCAAGTTAACAAGCAAGAAGGATGAGGATTTTACACACCAACAGAGAGCAAAAACAATAGAAGCTTTGACTGTGTTGAGTAATTGCTTTGTTGTCTTCACACAACTATTTCTCAGTTCAGAAGATGTGCTGCTTTATTTTCCTCTCATGGTGATAAAGAGATTACATCTGTTGTACTAAAAAAATCTCTCTGAAACAGGTATTTTTCCCTATTTCCGGACTTTTTATTAACCAGATGATTACGTATATGTAAATCCAAAAATAAAATGATTGTTCATTGCAGTCAAAGGTACTTCAACTAAAGTAAAAGAGGCTAACACTTCTTCCACTGCGGTATTTTCTACAAAAGACATTTTTATTTTTTATTAAATAAGGCAAAGATGTATGTCCATAAATGTCCAAAAAAAGCAGCGGTACTGGAATAAAATAGGCTGAAATGGGCAAAGTCATGCTTTAAAAACATAATGAATTGAGCCATGAATGTGACCAAACTTTTAATTTTCTGTAATTCATCCCCACACATCTGAATCAAATATTCATCCTCTCCTCTCAAGGTCTACTCCGCTATCTTCACCTCCTCCTCCATTTCCACTGTCCTTTTTTTTTTGGTCATTTATCTCCCTCCCTCTGTCCCCTCAGTTGATCTCTGCTCTCCTCCTCCTCCCCCTCTGCCCTCCTCTGCTCTATAGCATTAATCTGAGCATCAAGCCCGTGGATTACATCCGGGATTACAGATTGAGAGGCATCCCATTCCATCTCTCTCCGTCTCTCCTGGCAATTTCTCATCTCTCTGTCACTCTATCGCCCCACAACTCTCGCCCACCCCTCCCTGTCTATCTCACACACACACGATATACAAACCCTCCTGTATCTTTGGCTTCACCTTTCCCTTTTCCCTCATGTCACCGGATCTCATGTTCCACCTCCCTCTCCTCATCATCTTCCTCCTCCTCCTCCTCCTCCCTCCTCCTCCTCATCGCCCTGCGTCTTTTCAGCCATGTCCTGTCCTGTCACAGCTCTGTCTTTCACAGCATTTCACTCGTCTCCCCCCTCTTCTCTGTGTTGCTCTCTGACACTCCATCTCTCCTAAAATCTCCTCGTGCTCCCTGCGTCCCTCCTCCGTCTGTGACGTTTCTCCCTTCTCGCTGTCTGTTTCACTTTGCCTTCCCTCGGGATGATAATCAATTGGAACAATGATGCTGAATCAGAGCCATGGTTTTACATGATGATGAACCTAATGCAGAGGAGGAAACCGATTCGTCACCTTCTCAGGCACAGCATTGTTAAAACAGACGCGTGCACGCTGACACAAAATGTATAAAAAGACATGCATGTCTGTTACTTTAAAGAGGACACTGATATCTAATGAATACCTGCAGAGCTATAAAGTAATCAGGAGCATTTCGAGGTAAAAACTGCCGTGGTCAAGCCCGAGCACCTTGACAGGTCTGAGTGCTCCCATGGCGATTTCGACCATCACTTCAATACATCACAATCAACAGTCAAAATGACGAGGAACTGACCTTTGTTGCCATCGGCAACCGAAGTCAAGCAAAGGAGGAAGAGGGAGAGAAAATGCATTCTGTCCATCTGTGGGAGGAAAGGAAAAGTAGAAGGAGGAACTGGGTGGAGGGGGGGATGAAGTACATGCATCAATAACTGATCAGCTCTGACAGAGACAGGAACAGTAACGAGAGACATTGGACCAATCAGATACGGTGTTTGTGCATTAAAACACCACTCAGGTGTCATGCAACCTTTAGAGGCCTAGCAGAGACCCGACATGACAAACTCGATTTGGTGCTGCATATTGAGTCGGTATACAAACCAATACACCATCATAGCGCGTGTCTTCATAGAGAAACCTCCTATGGTGGATGCATGTATACGTGAGCGTGTAGCCTGCGCGTGTGTCACTATTAAAAGGTAATTGTGGTTTGTTAGATTAAAACAACGCAGCCGCTGTCTTGTGGGAGTAAACTGAAAAACGAGGAGTGGTGGAGAGGGGGGGTCGGGTGGGGGTACATGCTCTCATTGACATAACAAGACACTATACGTTTTTCCCATTTCTGCAGTCCTGGATGGGCCACAGGACAACACGCTCTGCAGATCGCATTGAGAAGGAGATACAGAGCAGATGAGTCGATCACACGTTGTTCCGGCTACGCGTCCACCCGACACCATGCAGAGACGCACGCGATGCGACACTAGTCGGCCGATTCACATTACGAGCTGGGGCTCCGTTGCTGGCCGTGTTGAGAGCCCCCCCACACACACACCACCTTAGAGTCAGGAGAGGAAATGTCGCATACACGACTAGCTGAAGCTGAAGATTTGACATTACCGTGGTGAGTTGCGGTGATGCTCCCGGTTGGTACCCAGCCTCTACGCTCGCAGCATCCGCCTCTCACGCCCCTGCCGCTCGGCAGTCCCCCCACCACCCTCACCTCGCCCTCCGCAGGCTGGAAGCAGACCTCCAGGTAGAGGACACACGCACAATCTTTTACACAGCGGCTTGAAGAGATGACACGAGTGTGTGTCTGCGTGCGTTTCAGCCTGACGTGCGACTCGGTGATGAGGCGCGACGAAGATGGAGACACCGATGGATGCCCTTGTTTTTTTGGCTCTACGGGGAAGATTAAAGAAAAAAACCGGTGGGAATATCACGCTGGCGTCCCCTCCCACTCGGCGTTTTTCAACCCGCCCACACTGCGTCCTTCCCCCCCTCCCCCCTTCTCTCTCCCTCTCCGGCCCCCACCCGCTCGGAACCAGACTGCTGCCCTGGCTGTTTTTCGCCGTCGCGCGCACATCGAGGGTGACTCAACACGGCATTTCGTCCCGTCACGCTTCTCCTCAAAGCTCCGGGCTTACATGGTGTCCAAGACCTCGCCACTGCGTAAGAATAAGAAGAAATATATATATACACACACACGCGCGGGCTCTGGCTTTCTATCGCCAGACTGCAAAATGACGTCATCCCCCCCCCTTTCGCCCGGTGCTGCGTTACACATATATAAGGGACACACTTACACCCAATAACCAGAGTCCTTGCTTGAAATGCAGCATTTTAATGAACATTATAAAATTGTATTTGAAAATCACTCCCAACCCACCCAGAGTCCATTCCAAGTTGTTTTACTTTGTACATTTGGTAGGAATAAGGCAAAAACGTAGTCTCTTAACATAGCAATTCACATCAATTAATAATCACCGTGTCGTGTATAAATATTACTAAACTCTGTGCCGCTGCTACAGTGAGGTTTGTCCTCTCCGTGTGTGTGTGTGTGTGTGTGTCAGCCTCAGCGAGAGGACGGCAGCAGAACCGGGTCTTCCTCTAGCATGCTGTGGAACAGACAACACGGGCCCCCACCATAACCAATTGAAATAAAAACAAAACGAAGTGGCATTCCCTTAGAGGGATCAGATGCATCTACTTCACACTTCTTTTGAATACCGCCTGCTGTTTTGAACAGAAGAGCACAAGTGAAACACATTTTGTTCCTTTTGCTTCCAGTTCAAACTCCATTTTAGAAGAAAAAAAACAAACACGTAATTTACAGAGATCAGCACGTAGGATGAACCAACATGATCAACTGCTGGGACTGTATGGTTGGGCAGTGCGCAAGTGTCCTTCTACCTCTGTGCATTGAACAGCTCCGGGACCCGGAGAGACGCAGGAGTGGAGCAGACTGAGCAGAGGGAAAGGAGTAAACATGGTAAGAAAAAGGAAAGACATCCAATGGAGGAAAGGCAGGAGAACAATGCTAATCAATTCTTGAAATCCCAAAGCTACAAAATGTTCTTATTCATAAAAGCTTTTAAAACTTTAAAAACCAAAAGTACAGTAGAAACATTCATTGATACAAGGCCATTTTGAGTTGGGGATTATTGTACAATGTGTGATTTACAGTGCTCGTATGAAAGCGGCAGGTTTCCATAAACGGCCCCTCTGATTATTATCATCATCATCATCATTAATAATATACCTCAACTATCTTTTGGAGGAAGTCTTTTTGTAATAAAGAAATTGCCACATAGGCTGGCGCTGTGCTTAAACCTCTTGTGAAGTCTGCTGCTGCTTAATGCAGGTGGTAGACGGAGAGAAATGGAAAAAAAAGAAGCCACAAAGACGGACTCTGAACCCGTGACTGGTGAGTGCAATTCTGTGTCGACAGCATGTAAGTCTCTCAAGTTCTCCAAGTCCAACGTTTCTTCACCAAACAAAAAAGAAAAAAAAAAAGAACAGGAATTCACCCTTGATTGCCTCACAGTTACCCCATGTGGCACGATTTCCTGTAAACATTTCTCAGAATGTTTATAAAAACCTTCCCCATTTAAAACACAAAAATATATAGAAATTTATTTTTACATGGACATATATATTACTAAAGGCATTAAAATATTTTCCCATTCTGCTCCTTGAAAGTCACAGTTCCCTTCAGTGGATATTTTGCCTTAGACAGACCTGGAAAGAAGAAAGAAAAAAAAGATTTCAATAGTAAAAACATTTATTTACAGCTTTGTCTCCAACAGCATTATAACTTGACCACAGAGGGGAAACGGCCTGCTCCTGCTCACCATGCCAAGTTTTAGTAGCACGTTTTAATCCTGCTTCGTCGGGCTCCGTTCCTTCTTAGGCACCAGCGCCTTACGGATATATGGCAGGATTAAAAAGGCTAGGAGGAAGAATACGTGACCACAGAAATAGATGGACGAATACACCTGAAAATCAAAAAGGCCACAGTTAATAATTCATTAAATCAAAACCAAAGGTTACAGCCACACCTGGTCTCTTTTTCCTCACCAGACACAGTGTCTGTGGGCCACCTGACCCCCGCTGCTCTTTACGCCGCTTCCTCCCCTTTCAGGTCACACGTGTGCCTCCCTGAGCCCTGGTGTACAAACACTCTCCACTTTCCCACCCCAGATCGACCGGTGTGACGGATCGCTCCACCCATCTCTGAAGACCATCTTGCTCATGGCGAATTACTTCGTACCGTGAACGCCACATTTGTGATGTACTACAATACGACGATATAATACAAATAATGTTCCGTTGATTCTGTAAATACAGCAGCTTTGCTAGACGGCTGCTCATCGTGAATTGAGCATACACTCAACCTGTTAAAAATAAAAGAGCACAATGAGGATTTGTCTTACCTTGAGCCATTTGTCATAGGTGAAGAGGCAGAAGGGCACAAGGGGGTAGCCCATGAAGAGCCAGTGGAGAAACTGCTGGACTACATAGATGAGGGGGTAGAGTGCGCTGTTGGCCAGCTTCGACAGTAAGGGACTGTCCCTCACCAGTGCCAGGGCCTGTCACATACAGACAGACACGTATTTCAGAACACTTAAATACAATAAAGCAACGGTTATAGAATAAATCAACACCACATTGTGACTGTGGACCATAATTAATTAAGAGTACATTCAGCAGTGAGGTGCATGTGATCAATGCTATTTAATGACAAGGGTATGTCTGTCGTGAATAAGTTGAAATTGGTTTGTATAATGTGCAAAGTGCAAGTCCAGCCATTACTGAGTGACTTCAGCGTAGTACCGATGGACCCGTATAGACTGATTCTTGCACACAATGCTAATTATTGTTCCCCATCCAAACATCCTGCCGTGTGTCTGTAAGGTACCTGTCGCTCTACAGTGATGATAAAGAACTCCATCGAGAAGCAGAGGAGGTATCCGGAGTGAAGACCATGCCAAAAAGTCAGAAAGAGGAGTGTGGCCACATGAGACAGGGACTTATTGCCCAGGAACTTCAACCGTTTGAAGACATGTCTTAAAAAAAAAAAAAAGAACACATCGAGTTAGCGGTTTTAGATTGCTTCACTTTGACAGAGAAATCTGGGCAAGGGGAGTCAAAAAAAACATAATAAAAGCGCTACCGCTGCTTACATGGTAAGCATTCACTCACCTGGAAGCTCTTGTTGCATAGCAACTGAGGTTATATTGAAACATTTCCACAACTTTACATCCTCTTCAATTCAATGCTGGTCCAGACTCTGTTACAATATCTTACAAAAGTATACACACATTGGACTCAATACCGTGTTCTTTTTTCTTACAGCTTACTTACTGGTGACACACGGAAGCGTTAGCTGTAGAGTGCCAAGTCAGAGGTACATTCAGTAACTGCTTTCCTTTCTACTGTATGTTGAATATTGGACTGGACTGTTTTGACTGACCTGGCAGCCCAGGCGTTTGTGTTGATGTTGAAGGAAGAGATGGTTCCTCCAAACAGTGGTGTGGTTTCAAAGACCCACACCTTCATATTGGCACAGGCATCCCACTTGTGCTCTCCATCCACCACGCCATTGTAGCCCAGTCCAGATAATATACATACACCTTCCTGTAACATAAAAAAAAAGAATAAAAAAAAATTAAAAAAAGGAAGTGTCATTTGCTGATGACGGATTCCAACTTGAGCCACCAAACCCTTCTAAACTGTACCTGTTAGTTTGGGCTGGTCAGGGTGTGCCATGAAAATAATCTAAGCATACATGTATGCAAAGGTATGTGACGGGTGGGGTTTCACGGTTAGTGCTCCCTTCCCTTGTCAACTGAGGTTCGTCATGTGACGCAACTTCATACAAATCAGGCTATTCCGAGAACCAGATCAGTCGGCTGTCGTCACCTTTTCTCAAACACGGACTCACAGACCAAGAGGTGACTTACCGCTATAACCCAACAGCTGACATATTTATACAGGATGATTTTTGCCCAAAGCAGAAGGAACACACAGCGATACCAGAAGGGCTGAGCCTGTGGAAAAGACAGGGTTTCATATTTTAGACACAATGCCTGGCCGTACTTTGAATACACTTGAGCATACAAAGATTATTTTTGAACATTTGGTCGTTCTTACATCATACTCATCTGTTAAGAAGTAGCTGTCTGGGTAATAGGGACTAAATATTGCATATATCACCAGGCAGAGAAAACCCAGAGCAAACCTCTTCGTAGCCGGTAGAACGCTGTGAGAGAATGAAACAGTGAAGATGGGAGATGATGAGATTAACTGCAGGGCTGTGAAGGCAGCGCAGTCGGCCTCGTTTTATGGAGATCAAACAAACAGCAACAGTCTTCCTGCTCATTTTTAGCACTCCATATTTTTCCTTGCGCCCGTACCTGTTCGGAGGCTTTCCGGGGCAGTCGCTGAGCTCGCCCGCCACCAGCTTCTGGTAGCTGCGCAGTGTAAACTGAGGCCCCACCAGGAAGCCCCCATAGAAGTAGGAAAAGCCGCACACCTCCAGCAGGGAGGGCACAGACGGCAGGGCTGAGAGCTTCTGCTCTGAAGTCAGCTGAGACTGGGGTTGGAGAAAGAGGAAAAGAGGGCAGAAGTCATTTAAAGGGTCAGGATGTGTCCATCACAATCTAGACCGACATGAAACATGAGATCGTATTAACCAGATTCATCATCAACACGGATAGAAATGTAAACACTCATTTCAAGCAAACCAAAGACACTGAAATGAAGCAACATACAGGACGGGTAACAGCTTTCGCTGACTACTAGCTGCTTTAGAGAGTAACCAAGCATGCTATAGAGACAGGGGAGGAGAGGAGAGAGAGAAAAAAGGAAAAGCTGCTCAACTAACAGAATACTATTTATACCATAGACAGAAGCTAAGACACAACAAGGACTGACAATCGCTTTAAAACCTCTGGTCATGGTCTATGTTATGGCCGACTCTCATCCTTCACAACCAATGCAAAGGCGTTCAAGCGCATCTATACTTTCCCACGTCAAAGAGCAATTACATTGGAAAATGATATGGATGTGTTTGAGCAGTTTTATCGTGAGAGTATTTTTTTTTTATTAGAAACTTGAGACAGTTCATGGTGGCATCAGCGGCATTAATGCATGCTTTGTGAATACGCCCCAGAATGCAAATATCCCTCTAATCATAAAGTTTTGTGTTGTTGCCGTTGTTCCTTTTAAAAAAAGAAAAGACCCTGGTAACTTTGCATTTGTAACCAACGGTGTGTCGCCTTGCAGTCGCACAACACATCAACATGCAGACAAATGATCAAGCAGGCAAAAGCAAGAGAGAGATCAACCAACTCACTGGTTCCTTTCCGCCGTCATAGTAATCATATGACAAACCTGTAATCAGAAAATGCAACTGGTGTCAGAACCTGTTAGGTGGATGTTAGGGGGACTAACGCTGTCATTTAAAAACCAAACACTATTAAGCATGCAAAGGCCATTCGAGCAGTTTATCAGTGTTAATCTATCACTAGAGTAAAAGGGAAAGATTCCAAAAATGGCAACAGGAAGATAGTCAAATGACAAAACATGTGTTTTTATGAGACAATTGGATTTGTCAAGCAGAGGAGTGCTGAAGTCAACTCACCAACCAGTTTGAGTGTGAGGACACACTGCGGCATGGTCCACTTGATGTCATACTCCTCCGTCGCTGTGTAGTAATACCCTGCCAGCAGGTATACCTGCAGAGAGGACAAGACAGCAAGTTAGCACACCTCTGCATTAACCCAACAGATGTGCAAGTAGGACCAAAACACATCGCAACGTGCCGGCCATTAGTAACGTAATCACACCCACATTGTGTGTAAAAAAATGTCATTACCGCCCTTCTTCAAACATGAGCAATTAGTGCAAAAGCATGCAAAAATAAAACACTCCCACAGAGGAAGCATATGACATCTAACAATTATTTTTTATAGTGGGCCTTTTAATACATGTGTCAAAGGGGGGTCGGCATGCAAAAGGCAATTACAGGAAATTACAGAATGCAGATGAGGAAATTCAACGTCAGACTGCACAGACTAACTAGCAGGCAAGCAGAACCTGAGCCAATGCAGTAAAAGTCATATAGTGGAGAAAAGAGGGCGTGGAAAAGGGGAGAAGAAAGGGGGGGGATATCATTTTTTTTTTTTTTTAAACATTCACCATTTGAAAGGTAAAGCTGCTCAGGACAGTTGTTACCGTCCTTCCCATGAGCCTCAGCATCAGGAATTGGACGAGGACGCATAGTGCAGAGTGATAGATCTGGGGGCCTGGGAGAGCAAGAGAGAGACATGGGAGAAGAGGAGGGGGTCAGTCAAGAGTAACCTGTAGAACTGTATATAAAAACAGCAGTTTTTCCTCCTCGGTTCAGTATTGGCAAAAATGGATATAGAACA